GGTTTGGACGACTCTGATTCTGACTCGGACTCGGACGAAGCGGAGGAGCCGGGCACCTATGTGCAGCGAGCGTGGAGTTTGGGCTTCAAGGTTTGGCCAGTGATTGAGTTTTTTGACAAGAGAGGCGAGCGCGCTTTTCAAAAGCTGCTGCAGTGGAATGAAGACGGGGCGACGGACGTGGCGTTCGACGACGAGGACTACTCCGACGAGGGGGAGGAGATACCGGACGAGTACGAAAGTTCGGGGATTGATGATTCAGAGATTGAATCGGGGGATAGCGATGAGGATTCAGATGATCTGAATATTGTGGACGTTGACAATAGCGACGGCAGCGACGGCAGCAATGAGGGGGATTCTGAAGATGACGGGGAAGGGGGTGGCAGCGTGGTAGACTCGGAAGATGAGGGGGTCGATGGGGACCGCCCGCTGATTGATCTGGCTGGAGAAGATGGCAACGAACACGACGACGAGGTTTTCACTGGATTTTCCAGCCCCGAACCGGAATCAGTTACACTTCGCGCATCCTCCAGCGTGGAGGAAGTGTTTGACGCTGAATCTGATCAACAAGCAGCTAGAGCAAGGCTCAAGCGCAGACGAAACAGAATCATGGAATCTTCAGATGTGGAAAATGACTCAGACGAACACGAGGATGACGTCCCTCGGCCGGCCAAACGACCCCGCCGTGTAGTGGACTCTGACTCTGACGACGAGAACGGGACCTCAGAGGAAGAAGAGGTGGTACCTCGGCCAACCAAGCGAGCCCGCCGGGTGGTGGACTCTGATTCTGAGGAAGAGGACGGCAGTGCCGAAAAAGACGAGGACGATGAGATGCCTCAGCTTATCAAACGAGCCCGCCGCGATAGCACCGCTTTGCTTGTTCGCCCCGACGATGACACGGATCAGGAAGTGCGGAAAATGAGGGCCAACAAACGGCTCCGAGCTGTTATCTCGGACGACAGTGAGGATGATGACGATGCCCACCACAACAGCAGCAAGGAAGAGGAAGGGGAAGAACAAGAATCCGATAGTCAATCCTCCGAAGAGACCGACGAGTCTGAGTCAGAAGACGAAGAGAATGAGCAATTCAGCCGCTCCAGAAAGGCAACGTCAGCTCTTGCACAGAAGCTGGGGTTAACCGGCGGGAGGGGTCGAATTCCCATGCCACCTTCTGATTCTGAGGATGATGAGGATGACGACGACGACATTGAGCGCAAGAGAGGGGATGATTACGACGTTGGCAATTACGAGGTCTTTGAGGATGACGATGAGGATATGGAGGAGGTGAACCGGGATGGGGAGGATAAGGAGGAGATATTTGGGGGGGATGATTATGACGAGGACGAGGAAGATTACTAGATTCCACTTCTTTTCTTGCCCTTCTAGAATTGCTGCATACCTTATATGTTGGGCTTTATTAGCATTGGTGGTTGTAGCTTATATCGTCTCTAGTTACAAGTTTAGCTTTGATCCTACAAAGCCAGAGATGAGAAGGTGCTGTATAGATATAGCTCAGCTAGGGCATAAACACTGTTTGCCTGCAGATATTCTTTTGTGTTTCGGCTGATAGATTCTTTTATCTGCAGGTAGCCTTTTCAAACATTCAAACTGCAAACAACTCGACATGGTCCTCTGTTTTGAGTGAGCAAATCAATCATTATTTCCCGTCATCTGGATGTTATCTCGCCAAATTACGCTCCTACATGACCACTCTCCTGCGAATATGTACTCGGTTTCCGCTTCAAGGCAGGTACTCCTCCCTCGCCCGCAGTCGTCATCGTCGTCGTCGTCGCTGGGGCAGTCTTGGCCTGGACAACAAGCAGACTAACATTGGCCTTGTCCCCTGCTCCCTTCCTCACCTCCGCAGCGAGACGTGCCGCCTTCAGCCCAAGAACCTTGCGAACGGCAGCCAGCTCAGCCGCCGCGGAAGAAGACGGGCCCGCCTCAACAGAAGATGCCAACCAAGACGAAACAGACCTCCCCACCACCACCAGAACCGACCGCGAGCTGCGCACCTGCCTGCATGGCGACAGCAAGCTCTGAATGGCTTCGGCTGTGTCCTGAGCATCAAGGTAGACAACCCTGTCGCCCAGACTTTCGGAAAGAACCGACTTGAGCGCGGCCATCTCACTGTCGGCGCGGTTGGCCGCTGCTTCGACAACCACCTCCAAGACGACCTTGTCGGTCTGGGCGAGTTGATACCCTAGCCTCACCGCAAAGAGGTCGTCCTCACCTCCTCTGTAGAGCACACGGACAACCTTTGGGCCTTTGCTTTCGGCGGAGTGAAACTTGGCTGCTCCGATGTCTTGGGCCTCGGCTAGGCTGACACCTGTCGCGTCTCGGGTGAGTTGTCGGGTGATTCCCGTCTTTGTTGCTTGCGAGTCGTCGCCTATCCTTGACCGGGGGTGGCTGGTGCCGAGGAGGGAGCTGTCGACATAAACTCCCACGGCGGCGAGGTGCCTGTGCTTTTCGTAGACGTCTGTCACGAGGCCGGCGAAATCCTTGTTCGCGAGCATGTTGTCCTTGATGCTGGAGTTGCCGCCGTAGTAGAAGCTTTGGATTTCGGAAATGGTGCCTGTCTCGCTCCAGGGGACGAGGACCAGGTCGCTGTTGGTTTTGGAGGCTTGGGTGGCGAGGGTGTCGGCGAATCCCTCTTCGGGGACGACAGCGATTTGTCCAGAGACGATGACGTCGCGGGAAGTGTTGTTGGCGGTGGAGGTGCCGAAGGCCTTGACGATAGGGTCGTGGGAGGCGTAGTCTTCAATGTCGGATACTTTCATGACGGAAGAATTGCGGTCTGTCAGCTCCACCAGACGATACCCCTGAATGCGAAGTGGCCTCTGCTCATCTGTGTGAGCGGCGGAGGGGTCGGCTGCCTTTTCGTTGTCTGACGAGGCACTGGCCGCTGGTGTTGGGGCAGAGGAGGAAGTAAACAACGAGATGAGCCCCAGAATAGAGGACAGGCCATCTGTTCGAAGATAGACCAGCAGACGGGTGGCCACATCCCCCTTGCGGTATTTTTCCTCCGAGTCTTTACCATCCGCTGGTATGATCGGATTGCCATCCCAGTCTATCTTGCCCTTCTTCCACAGGTCGAGCTTCTGCTGATACCAGGGTGGATAGAGCCAGCTGACCAACGGGGCCGTGGAAAAGGTGGTGACGAGAGCCATAATGACAAACATGGTGAAGGTCTTTGTGCTCAAAATCTTGGCTTGCAGGCCAATGTTCAAAACAATGAGCTCGACCAACCCCTTGCATGACATGAGCGTGCCGATGGTGAAAGACTCTCTCCAGACCAGCCCGTTCAACCTCGCGCCCAGAGTTCCACCAGCCAACTTGCTGAAGAAGGCCACGAAAATGATGGCAATCACATAGCCCCAGACGGTCCCGGTGTTAAGTAGGCCGATGTTCGTATTGATTCCCGAAAGCGCAAAGAACAGCGGCACAAACAGCGTAGAAGTAAGATCCTCGATCTTCTCGGTCAGTTTGATTGCAAACCCGCCCTCATGAGGGCACATCAGCCCGACCATGAAAGCCCCAAAGATAGAGTGAACGCCAATGATGCTCGTAAAGAAGGAGGACGCCAACACCATGAATAGCGTCAGCGCAACCACACCTTCGGTCGGCCCGTTCTCCAGGCTCCTCGTCCTGCGCAACACCCAGATGAATGCCGGACGGACGGCATATGCCAGGAACAAGCTGTATCCAACCGAAACCAGAAACACATACAGCGCCGTTATTCCGGCTCCAGCATTCACAAGCGTGACACACAACGCAAGAAGAACCCAGCCCACCACATCATTGGCGATGCCGCTTGTCAGGACAATCACTCCGACGGTGGTGTTCAACAGCTTCAAGCTCGTCAAGATTCGACATAGGACTGGAAACGCCGTGATCGCCATCGCCACACCGATGAAGAGAGCAAAGATGCCAAATGAGATGGGGGCCGTTCCTGGCTCACCCGCAAACTCGTGGTACAGCCCGTATGCCACCGCCACACCGAGTCCAAAGGGAATCGTCATGTCCAGAGCTGCGACGCTAAAGGCGATTCGCCAGTTGCTCAGCAAATATGACAGGTTGATTTCCAGTCCAACTAAAAAGAGGAACAGCACAAGGCCAATGTTGGCCACAAGTCGGAAGGGTGCCATGCTGGCAGGCGGAAAGATGGCATCAGTGAAACCGGGGATACGGCCCATAACGGAGGGTCCGAGCAGAATGCCTGCGATGACCTCTGCAATCACTCTCGGCTCTCGGATCTTGGACAGCGGCCAGTAGAGAGCACGGGTGAGGGCAATGACAATGGTGGCCTGGATGATGAAAAGGACGAGGGGGTCGGCGGGATTGTAGATGGAGGGGTTGAGGCCTTCGAACACGCCCGCTTGGGCGGGAGCTCGAACCACGGTTGGAGTGGCCGTTGCCGCTGTTGCTGTTGTTGTTGTTGTCGCCATGGTGGGCGAGCCAGATGAGCCTGATAGGCCCTTGTTCGGTGAGCACGAGAGAACACAACGGCGACTGGATTTGGTGGTAATATAATGACCTCCTCAGAGGCCAGGAGCCGAGGAAGGAAAAGAACAATGGGTCAGTTCCAATTCAGGACCTAAAAGAGAGAAACGGGGAGCTTCAAGTACTCGAGACAAAGAGACCCATGCTTTGCGGGACAGGTGGGCGCAGGGCTCACACTCAGGGTTCGTGACAGATCCCAGTTGAGAGGTGGTCAGACAGCTCGTTTAGTCGCAATCATACACTGAGAAAGCTTCGTGGCGGACCGTTCGCCTTGTCCAATGTCGACAAGACAAGGGGCGGAACTGGGGGTCACGCCAAGGTCAACAATCTAGACCGCCAGAGACCGTCAAGAAGCGGTGGAGGAGGCTGATAAGCATTGGGAGGTGATGGGCTGAGAAACTGGAAGGAATGTGGCTTGTCTGCGCCGTGCTTGGCGTCAACCTCCCCCGCAGCGGCACAGCCTTACGAGTACGCCTTCACCCATCACCTGAGATGCCAATATGCATGGGGCTGCTTCAAGACCTCAACTTGACTCAATGGAACAGCAGCAAAGATCGTCAGACAACACCAGCATGAAAGAATCACTTGATGCACTGTACTCCCGGTTTCCTCTCACGCCAGACACACGTTCCATTCGTTTGTTGGAGCTCGAGGCGCCACCTCCCAGCCACGAGTCAAGCTTCCCACCTCAGCTCCATGGCGACCTTCGGGTAGTCAGTTTTGAAGACAGCCGGCCGTCTTTCATTGCTCTTTCCTATGTCTGGGGCGGGAAGCGGCCATCCCCAACCACGCGAACCATTGTATGTCATGGCGTCCATGTCGACATCACTGAGAATTGCTATGCGGCCCTCTGTCAGATACGACGGCGTCATGGGTACACCACACCTGCAACACTCTGGGTCGATTCAATATGCATCAATCAAGAGAATGAACAGGAAAAACTTGACCAAATTCCCTTGATGCAGCACATCTTCTCCCTAGCACAGTCGACCTATGTTTGGCTGGGACATGGCAATGACCGGAGTGATCTAGCTATGGAGTATCTATCGCAATTAGCAAGATTCGGCAGGCAGCTACCGCTGCGTATCTGTACTGCTCCTGATGCAGCAACCGCGAGGGCTGAGTCTGCGAGGTATAGGGAGGCCGTGTGGGAAGCGATGAGATGTGAGCTCCTTCATTCTTGGGGCGTCCTGTCTTTTGAATCTTCTTCGATGCTAACAAAATGAATGCGTAGTCAGGTTAAAGCATCGTGAGCCGGTAACCCGCAGTGTTGATCTCGACCAGGTGCTTGATCGCGAATGGATACACCGGTCATGGACATTTCAAGAATTGATTCTGGCTCGCCATTTAGTCGTCCTGTGCGGCACCAAGGAGATCTCTTGGGAAGAGCTCATCAGTGCAATCAGTCTCATGGCACAGAATAGCATGGGCAGCTTCAAGACGATGGCTGAGCTTGAGGAGACGGCGGCGTCATACCCCGTCAGCCCCTCGGTCCTAGCCCACTGGCAGTCCATGATTGATCTCTGGCTTGGACTGCCGCGGCCTTCCAATGGGTTTGAATCTTCACGAATCCACGTTTCGGGTAACAGGAAGTCGTCTTTGAGAGATGACATTATTGCTTATTGGGACAGGTTTGGGGACTCACCTTTACTCTTTCGACTGTTTCACTGGACCGTCGCCGCAATTGGGCTAATCTCCGCGATAGGCGCATGGGCCTATCTGACGAGGGTGTTCGCGCAGATACAAGTCTTGACTAGCTTTCGGGCTGGAGCCCCTGTCGTGCTTGTCTGGTTTGTGATGACAGTATTGGCAGGCATCCAAACCAGAAGACTGTATCTCGTTTGGTACGGGATCGGCTTTGGGCAAGGACAGTCATGGCTTCGTGACTCGGCTACAGCAACCGAGACACTTCAGGCTGCTGAAGCACTTGATGGCATCCGGGCGGCTCTGCGGGAGCGGATCAGCACACAGCCCCAAGACAAGGCCTTCTCCATCTCCGGCATCTTACAGACCTGCGGTGCCAGCCCCTCGCCACCCGACTACTCTCTTGCAACAACGGAAACCTACCTCACCCTGGTGAAAGATCTTCTTGCATGGAGACCAGAAGCACTCATCATGCTGATGGATGCCGGTATCAGTACAGCCTGCATACGTGATCCCAGTGCTACTGAGACCATATCGTGGGTGCCAGACTGGAGCACCCCTCGACCCAGTGCGTGGCTGACCTCAAGGTACCGCCTCAACAACACTTACGACATTACACCTGGGTACGATTACCAACTGCTAGATCCATCAGCTGTTCTGCTAGCCGGGACCTTCAGCGGCACGGTGATGTGGGTTTCGCAGCCGTTTGCACCCACGCATCATCTAAAAGGGGCCGAGTTGCGCTTGGCCCTTGCTGCAAACCTTTACACATTGCACTTCTGGCACCTGACCATCTTCAAAAACCTCTTCCGGGCCAGACGCTCCGACACAAAAGAAACCTGGAAGACTCGCCAGTTCGCCGTCCTGGAAGGCTTGGTCCGGTCGCCAAACAACAGCCGGCCGGAATACTGGCACATACCGGAAGACTTCCCCGACCGCAGAGACGACTTTCAGGGCTTCTCACAGCTCCTGGAGATACTCGACAACCTCTCGCGTCCGTCCGACCTGAACGACTATCAATCTCTCCACGACAGTCTTGCCCTTGACGACGATGACAATGGCCCATCGTCCTCTTCCCCCCTCCTCCCCGAAGCCACCACCGAAGCGATATGGGACTCGGTCCTCTCGAAAATGGCCAGGGCCATCTCCATCCTCCGACGGAACAGAAAAGCCTGGAGATACTTTTTCAAAACCTGCAACCAGCTCGCCCTCGACCAGAGGAATCTATTCATCATGAGCATAAACGCCTACAGCGACAAGCTCATCGGCAGTGGTCCCCTGAGCCTGGCAGAGGGTGACAGCATATTTCTCAGCGGAGGCATCCCCACGCCCATGGCTCTGCGGATGGTGCCCTCGTCTGAGGCCTACTTGTCTGGCACTCGAGGGGACAATCGGTTCAGGGTCGTCGGGGCTGTGTTTGTCCACACTCTGACAGGTGAAGACGGCAGGCTTCCCGTGGGTTCTGTGTTTGGTAATGACGGTCGGGATCATGTTGTTCTTGTGTAGCAAAGCGGCCGGCGGCCGGTCCCCATATCAACTGATTCAGGGGTTTGTTTACTTGAGGGGTTCCACTCCGTCCAATGCAGTGTTCAGCCCAAAGAAGATAAAGTTTCTGAAGGCCAGCTTTGTTGCCTGTTCTTGTTCCTCTGACTTGCTCCTCTACCCAGAGGATCCTCGCGTCGCGAAGCTTCGTATGTGCTTGCCGCCTCATCCGGTATCTGCTCACTCTTCGGCAACTTGTGGAGGAGAAAATGATCCGTTTATGCCGGTATGAGTCATTCGCCGGTCCCAACCCCTCGGGTTTTGAGTTGATTAAAAGCAACCCCAGAGCTACTCGCGTTTCCCGCGGAAGCTTGTATTGCTCGTGTTCATTATTAAATTTGATAATACTTTGCATCCAACCGATCCGGGGTATCTTGAACGATTGATAAATTACATGTGCGTCTTGTCTCCTTGCACGGTTCGGAGCGACGTTCACACCATTTTCTTCATTTTTCTTTCTTTTCTTTTGCTTACGACATATCAATCATGCCATCGTTGTAGAGCATGCCGGCAATGCTGGCCGATGTCAAGGTGCACAGAACACCGCAGAGGAAGGCCGAGATGGACACCTTGACGACATCACCGGACCGCTTGGGGGAAATGGTGGAAAGAACACCAATCTGAATGCCGAGGGAACCAATGTTTCCGAAACCCTGTTTCAACATGTCAGTGTCAAGTCCCAACGCATGCTCCAAGATCTGAGACGAATAAAAAAAACAACAAAACAAAAAAACTTACGCAGCAGGCATAGGTAGCGATAAGCTTGGAACGGGGAAGCATATCGACGAACTTCTGCTTGGGGTCGACGAGATCGGCAAAAGCCTTGAACTCGTTGATGACCACCTTGGTGCCAATGAGCTCAGCCACCGAAAGAAGATCCTGCTTGGGCACACCCAGCAACCAAGCAACGGGATAAAGGCAGTAGGAGAGAATGAGCTGGATGGACAGGATCTTGTTGTTCTCGTCGACGAGAAGAGGGTCAGTCACCATGCCCCAGTAGCTGCCCCACCACTTGAGGAGACCATTGATCAAGGCAACGAAGGCAATCGTGGTCAAGAGGCAGGCCACAATGGTGGCACCAATCTTGAGACCGAGCCACGAGCCGTTGGTGAAGGCGTGAAGAGCGTTGACAGTCTCTTCATCTTCCTCGTTCTTGGGCACCTCGACCTTGCCCATGGTGATGGGCTCCTCCGTCTCGGGCCAGCGCATCTTGGACACGGCGAGGGTGGCAGGAATGGACATGATGCAAGATGACACGAGAGCCTGGGGGTTGAGACCCATGCCAATGTAGGCCACCAAGACGGAACCAGCAATGGTCGCAAAACCGCAAGTCATGATCTGGTGGATTTCGGCCTTGGTGAGATGGTCCATGAAGGGACGAATCAAGACGGCCGATTCACCCTGGCCAATAAAGGGGGTGGCGGACGCGACGATGGCTTCGGCGCCAGACACTCTCAAACTCCAGAAGAAGAAGACGGCAAACTTCTGGATGAACCAGGCGAGGAAGCCGACGTGGTACAACATCTGGACGAGGGCGATGAAGAAGATGATGGCGGGAATGACACCGGTCAAGAACCAGTTGCTGTTGGCCAGATCCTCATCCGTCAAGAAGATCAAACCGTCCTTGGCGAAGCCGAGCAGGGCACGAGCCATGTCCGAGATGAACTTGAAGATGTCGTAGCCCGCCTTTGTGCGAAGGACGAAGATGGCAATGATGTACTGGGACAGCATGCCACCAATGACGGTACGCCAGGGGATGAGCTTCCAGTTTCGCGACGTAAGCGTCAGGAGACCAAGCATAACCATGAGACCGAAGACGGAGATGGCCCGGTTGGCGCGGGTGTTGTCACCGGTCTCTTCAGGCACAAAGGTGCCGATCAAGAAGACGGCGACGGCGATCAGGGCGGCAAGAATGTGGTGGAGGTGAGTTGGCACTCGATCGTACACCCGGACAGCCGTGTGCTTCCAGACGGTGCGCACAGGGCGCATGACCAGAGACGATGGAACAAAGTTGAAGAAGATGCGAAGACAGATGGCGATGTAGATCAAGGAGGGAATCAACCATCCCTTGCCGTCGGTGTGTCGGTACTTGACGAGGCCATAAATCCACCATCTGCGGGTATCACATATCAGTTCGGTGCACTCGACTTCGGAGAGGGCTCTTGTGTGCTCTGGTTACTAACACGCTGAAGACGATAAACAGAGCTACCTGGACGACCTTCCAGAAAAACCTCTCCACAAGCCGCAAGATGACGGTAGGTAGCGAACTTCTCCCGTCGCCGCGAAGGGAGCCAGCCTGGGTGCTCTGCTTCTCGGGGTCGACAGCATACTGAACGGAGGCCGAGGCGTTCTTTTCGTCTGGGTATCCAATGTCGGTGCTGGAGCTAGACTGCTGCTGAAGGGCAGTGGGCTGGGCCGAGTAGGGAGTAGCACTGGGCTCGATGTTGTCGTTGGTCGCCATGGCAAGAGAGAAGAATCTGAGGGACAGGGTGGGGACGGCGGGGAAGGGATGGAGGCCTGGAGGACTGGATCTGATATGAGAGCTCAAGCTCTGTCTCGACGTCCGCTACCAACAAGGTGGTTCGTGGAACGGTAAACTGAACGCGAAAAGGACAGCGGCCGGCGAGCGAGCGAGGAACCAAATCAGACACTGGCCTGGTCAATCAAGTCCAGAGGTGCAGGCGCCGAGGGGCGACGGTAGAACTTTAAATGGCCGGGCTGGCTCGTGAGCCTGTGGTGCTTGTGAAAAGCGTAACCCTAGATAAGGCGATAAGGCGGGAGATACCAGGTAGGAGGGGACTGAAATCAGCGAATTGCACAGTGAGGAGACCTGACGAGACATCCCGGTGACCTCGTCTCTCCATGGGAACCAGGTTTAAGGGACAAAAGGATTACCAGGAAGAGCAGTCGGTGGAGAAGCCGGAGCGAACAAGAAGAGGCAACGCAGGGAACCGACGAACCACAAGCAGGCACAGGCGAGAGGTGGCATGTAGCATGTTGCATGTAGCATGTGGCATGCGGCCTGTGTGTATGTGTTGTGTGGTGTATGTAGGTAGGTAGGGTGGTAGGTAGAGATAGAGTAGTGAGAGTCTTTTCGGTGTTACTTCCGGCGGGCCAGACGCTGTGCGCCCAGGATGGAGGAACCGCGGCGATGGAAACATGGAAGGGCCGTGGCGGATCTCGACCTTCAACCACCAGCGGGAAAGGTGAAGGTGGCCAAGTGACTAGGGCCGACGATTAAGGCACTGGTGCCGGGACAAGTGTCGGTCGAGTTTTCCCTACAAGGGAGGTAGGCACATATGGATGAGAGTGCTTGTTGGGAATCGGGAATCCCTATCCCACATACAGTGAATTGGCCAATGAGCAGCACGGATGGATGAGAACGGCACGGGCGAGGGGCAAGGTCGACGAGAAAGCCACCGGCTGCTGGCCAGTCGCCGTTGAGATGCCGTCGCAAGTTCGCTGATCGGTCGACCAAAACTGAAGCCAAGAAACACACGCAGGAGCCCGACTGCACCTTGACGTCGAATGCCACCTTCTCAATCGGGCGCGTCATCGGTGTATCTTATCAAAAATCCATCTCGAAAAGTGGCCACCGCGATGCCACCGGAGGCTTTACCTGGTCCGCGGTTGACGTCAAGTGGAGGGCGGCACAGATCTCAGTCCAAGAGCAGATAACAAAAATAACACACTGCTCGTGATATTATTCAGTGAGGGTTATTAGACGGAAACCTGAGGGAAAAGCTGTCGTTGAGATTGTCGATTCTGCTGTGTCCTGGGGGGAACGGGACCTGGAGCTGAAAAATTGGCAGTGTGGTCGGTGACGGCAAATTCCACCTTCCGTTTCTAGAAGCCTGCACTGGGCTTCCCTGCTAGCGATAAGCCGAGCGCCCAAGAGGCCAACGGCGGCCGAACCCATGTACCCCGCAAGTGCCGGGCCACCAGGGTTCAAGCCACTTCCCGCATTGGGTCTCGTGCCATGGAGACTCCCGATCCAATCGTTTTCATCTTGTTCACTTTCCAATGACTTTTACACTACGTACACACGAAAACAATACGGAGGGCTTTACTACCCAAATCCCAGGCCTTTTTCCCTCCAGTTCGTCTCATGCGAGATACAAGATCTGGGGAAACCTGAAGGGGATAATCAGGAAGCATCATGCGAAATCGGATCACATGTCCGGCCAGACCCTGACTCTGCTGTGATCGGCGAGCTGTGAGATTCTGCGAGATAAATGAAAGTGTGGGAGCTTCAGAGATATCCAACAAGACGCCCACCTGCTCCAGTACACTAGGTGTGTGGGGACAACCACATGTCAGTGTCCTAGCTCTCGCTTATCGATCCTGGAGTGTGCCATTGACAATACCGCCGTGTTGGAACTGGGGTTTCCAACAAGAAGGTGATAGCAGCTTACCAGCGGGTGCATTCGCGAGCCATGTCGAGATAGCATTGCAGATAATCATTGATATGCACACCGCAAGGCGGCGATGTCCGGTTCTGTGGTCTCGCAGTATCAAGATGATCAGATTGCAATGGTAGCCAGGCTGCTGGTGGTGGTGGTGGTGGTGGTGGTGGGATGGGATAGGTGAGATGGTTGCTATCGATGCCTGGACTCTGGACTCTGTACTCAGCCTCTCAGGCCGCTTTGATGTTGGCGAGCGTATCCATGATCCATACCAACGTGCTCTCACCTGGCGGGCCGGCCCGAGACACTGATCATCAAGAGTGCAATATCAATACCACCTTTTCAAAGGTTACCTTGCAGAAGTCCAAGCAAGATGGAATTGTTCTTCGGTCTCCAGTCTCCGGCCGCGGTCCATCCGAACTTTGGCACCATGATAGCGGCCCGAGCTGAGCTTTCCGTTGACCGCCAACCTCACCGAATTTGCGGTTCCCGGCGGCTCCACGGCTCCCTGCTTTTGTCAAGAGTGCAATGTGCTTGCCCGCCATGACAAGTCAGCTTGTACAACTGGCTATCCGGCATATAATATTCCAGAGGTCACGAAGCGGTACGTGCTTGCCACCCCGGCTTCTGACATCCGATGAAACAACCCTGGAGCCCAACACTCCGGGGCACCGCCGCAATGATGGAGGGCCCAATTCGCCTTCGAGTCAAACTTTTCGAAAGCTCATGCTGCTTTGTAGAGCATGAGCCACCAGCGGTCTTGCCGTCACACCTGCCCTGACCCCCAACTTCCAAGGCAACCGACAATGCTTCCATTGGCTCAGGTATTCCAACAATACTTGGTACCAGCTGCCTACCCAAAGCGGCCACCAAAAAACAATACCGACTACACCAAGCATGTAGTCACCAATAATGGCGTATTATGAGGCTTCATTGTCCCCATGAGAGAGTGACAAATAGAGTCGGGATATCGGTTTGACTGACTGTTCGACAGCAACAGTAAGTGAGCAACCCATCTTTTTTATCAACTGTATCGCTGATATCACCAGGGACTACCAGAGCATCTTCTCTCACGACCACAAGATAGTCCCCACTCCGACCTTGGAATTCACAACTGGATAAGCCCTCACTTGCTCCCGTCGATAAAAACGCGTCGGCAATTTCGAAAGGGCTGGCCAGTCGGATCCGCATCAAAGACGAACCTTCCCAGAAATGCCCGACCACGCCTACCATCGTCAGGAAGGGCCCTTCAAGGCTCCCAATAGCGTCAACATCAGACAGTCGCGCCGCGCCACCCAAGTCCTCAATCAAGTCCTGCAACAGGATCAAGTGACGGCGGCCAAATGTTTCCCCTGGCAATGTCCCCCTCCAAGTCCGAGCAAGAAGAGGAAGCCCATGAGTGCGATGGGCGCCGCAATCCTCGAGGAATTTCATCAAAAGCACGCGGATCACGTGGAGCCCTTCTCACGCCCGGCCCAATACCAGTCACGGCCAGCTCCGAGTCATCACATCAGGCCACCCCTCCAGGGTCTTCTTCACTCGAGATCGTCACATGTCTCATCAGTGACACCTCAAGCTGGCAACGGCCCCTCGTGGACGACATCTCGCCCCGTGACACATGTGTCTACCGCTCCGGTTCATGGTCGGCCAGCTCACCATCACCAGGCAATAGGCTCGCACTGGACGATAAATGATCAACAAGTGCAGGTCGCGCCCGATCCCCCGACAGAGCGGTTGGCAGCCTCGGCGGCCAAGACAAGAATTCACCAAATCCTTCATCGTGATGGCACTAGAAGGGCCGCGAATGGGAGAGGGAAAAAGGTGACGAGGGTCGGAGGATCAAGCCTCAAGAGGCAGATGTCTGTTAACAACGGAGATGCCCGTGAGGAACTGGCTCGGTTGGCCGAAAGCCAGACTGGTGGTAATAACGGCACCGTCAGCAGGCCCTCCAAGAAAGCCAGGAAGAGAGTAGGCAAGTAGATGTATGTAACGCTTGTTTTCTGCTTGGAGTTTCTGTTTGGTGCTTTTATTAGGAAGGAACTGGGACTGCGGCTGCATAAAAAATAGGCGTTTGGGTTGAGGAAAGGTAGTCACCAGGATTTGATCATTTCGGGTAGCATTGGCGGGATGGGCTTACGTGATTCTCATGCATAGCAATGTTGGCTACCTGATCGAAGGGCCAAGGGGTATGAAAAGGGAAATTTCACCCAAAGCCCCGATGGGGCAGGGAAAAAGATCATATCATGACAAACCATTTGCTGACAATCCTGTGAAATCGTATCTTCACTCACCGCACTTACACCCAATACTTGCCCCAGATGGCGTACTCTTCCTTGGACCCCTTAAACTTGAACTCCACCTCCGTGATGTCGTCGAAACCCTCCTTGTCCTTGGGCTCCCTGAACCTTGACTTGAAGCCGTTGAACGCAAGCTGCGGGAGTAGCTGTCGATCTTCAGGGTTCAGACTCTTGTTGAGCGCCCTGACCGCGCTGTTGTGCTCGCACAAATGGAGGGGTGTCTTGAACCACACGCACCGGATGGGTACCTTGTGCTTTTTGGCCAAGTCAACCCACTGGGCGCGTGTATCGGGGTCTGCATTCGTGTTGTCTATTGTCAGGTCAACATTATCATGCTCCAGGGGGTAAAGCCGGGGGGGGGGGGGGGGGGCGGCAGGGTATACATACCGATGACAACCGACTCCCCTTCCTTGAGCCACTCCGTAGCAGTCTTGAAACACTTGTCCTTGCTCTTTAGCAAATCCTGGTTAACCCTCTCGTAACCTAATGGCTTGAGCTCCTTCCAGAAAAAGGTGCTTTTGCCTGCACCAGGAGGGCCAACGAAGAGGACCATCTCCTTCTCGTGCTTCTTCTCAAATCTTGGTGTCTCTTCCTCCTCCTCGGGCAACGGGAAATGCTCCAGGTCGAAATCCCGCTTAAACTCCCTTGACTTCTCCCCCAAAAAGTATTCTTCTGGCGTGAGGTACTTGATCCCGATATTACTCGCCAAGTTCCTGTCCGAACAGCTAAAGTCCTTGGCCTGCCCTTTGAGCTCTGCTGTCCTACCGCCCGCGTCACCGACAAAAATGCTGTTCTCCCGATCTATCTCCTCCTCTGGGAGGCTGTAATCTTTCTTAAGCTCCTCCCACATGCCCGGCCGAGGCTTTCGAAATATGTCCTTGCCTGTCGCGGCGTATAATGTGACAGGTATCCCGAGCTGTCCCAGGACAGCATTGCATTTTGCTTTGAAGCCGGCGACGCGGTTCTTGGTGAACTTGACGGGGGCTTTAGTCTTGGGGTCGGGATGGAGGGCTAGGCCGCCTTGGTTGGTGAAGATGACCACTTGGTAGCCTTCGTCTTGGTAGAGCTGCCGCAGGCGGGCGGGGACCGACTCGTGCCACCATTTCCAGTCTGCAGAGTCGCCGGCGTGCTTCTTGCCTGAAGCTGTTGCTATAAGGGTTGAGTCGAGGTCAAAGGCAGCGATCTTCTTCCTTTTGATGGCCGGGGCGTCGGGCTCGGTCTTGTCGTACTTGGCAACGAGTAAGGTGGCAGGAGAGTTGTCGTCGGGACTTCGTTCTGACCAGACAGTAGGCTCTTTCGGCTTCTGAGAGGCGGGCGTGAAGAAGCTGGCTACGGCACTTTCTATACAATGTATCTTCTTAGTGACTGGGGCAAGAATAAGACGAGCGCGAGCATGGGCACATACTCGAGATGGCAGTTTGGGCTTTGCGCTTCGGCGGAGGTGGAGATATGGATCGGTTGTCGGCTGAACGCTTAAAGGACGATTTTGACGGAGACATGGTAGATAAAGCGACGCTGGCGGAGAAGTGATTCACTCGATATATTTGCGATACCCAAAACAACAACGACACGGGCACGTGGAGAGCTCTGCCAGAGAGGCGCTGCATTCAGGTTCAAGGTTGCGGTGCTGAGAGCGCCAAGCCTGGATTGACGCGCTGGGAAATGCGAAAACAGCTGACCTCATCCAGCAGCCAGCAGCCACCAGGGTTCTCACAGTGCTTGGCACTTGGTTGCTCCTGGCAGCACTTTAAGGTAGAAGGGGTTAGGGTTAGCTATTACGTCCCCTTGGGCCCCTTAATTAAGGCAACATGCACAACACCATGCATGCGGCAAATATTCCCCTGGTTTCCAGCCATCACGTATGTAACAGCAAGCACCCACTGATAAAACAACTGAGAACAACGAAGGAACTTTTGGCGATGCAGGGTTTTTTCCCTTTCCCATTTTTAAAACAAAACATCAGTGCGATATGACATGGAGTGACAAACAAAGCCTACCTGTGTCACAAACTGAACAAAGTTGTTAAGATACTCAAATTGAGGCTGATAGGTATATTGAACAGACAATCCGCGGATCATGTGGTATCCAGGTAGTCAACTCACCGTCTTTTTCCTTGCCCTCCCTTATCATTCTCCATCCTGAACAGATTATGGCTCTCCCTTGGCTACCAGTACGAGACAGGTATTGCATTGTGTTTACAGCATCATATGACATCGGATGCAAAAGAAACACCGGCACATACCGTGAAAGCCCTCATGACAGGCTGAGAAAGAAAACACGTGAAAAATGCAAAGGTGCACGGTTTTCCTCGGCTTTTGGACACGTTAAATACTCTCAGAGATGCGAATGCAGTCTGGCACTGTCAGGCTGACACACTTAATATCCCATTGATAACATGACCATCGAAGCCGAAGGTCCGTCGGTGATTTCGATCGTTAAAAGCCTCATCCGACAATTAACTCGTAATTCTCAAGCTAGGTAGGCTCCGGGCCGTCCCTTCTTGTCAACAATCCCGCTCCTTTCTCTGTGACGTCATGGTTCAGAGTCACCACCCACCACGTATCTGTCTGAATTGCATTGTTTACAGCATTGAAAGCTGTCACAAATGCATGGAGTTTGTTGCCGCATCCGGGCCCATGTCCACTTCAAATTATCTTGGACCATGAATTGTTGATTGTCCGCCATCATGACCTCTTGACATCAAAGAACGCAACGATGTACAGTGTACAAGCTATTCATTGCATTTATCGCCCGAAACCCCGTTCATGCTGAGGCACCTTGGTACCACCCCCCCTGTGCACCGCAGACCATGGCTGATGCTTACACCGACTACAAGGCGTCCAAGTCAAGAGAAACTCGGGTACGGGGTCGATCTTGCCTCTCCTACCTGAGAGCCACTCACAAAACCTGCTGACGCTATGGACAACTCAACTTGGATAGGTTAAGGTAGGTCGGGTCCGGGGATTGTTTGCGGGGAAGACGGGGGAAACGATTCTTTCTTTCCAGCCCGTCGGATAAGGTTTGAAGAAGAGCCGCCACGGTATTCGGCCGAGCGAGACATGGTGATAATGCAGCATGGGTGATTGGAACCTGCAAAAGACTCTATACTGCCGTGACTGCACCACAGAAGGCTGGGTGACCTGGACAAAGAAAGCTGACATTGTAGGACAGCCAATCAAATCACTCCTTCCTGCCGGAATGGGCTACCGATTTACACGGCATGTTCTCGGAGCAACTGAGCCTCGTTTTCCGTCTTCACCGCCTGACTTGGCCTCTCGATAGAGGCTGCAATCTCGGGGAAATGAGCTTAGGAGACCGGCCGAAAGAAAGCTGGTCGAGGGCACTGGAGCTGACTTCCTCTTAAACTGCCCCATGACCCTGTAGTTTTCTCAGACAGGCTAGCTCCAGGTAGGTATATATCGTGGTGTCTGTTAGCGGCCAGCCCCAATCCGAGCTTCAGTCTGACCCAGTGACCTGTCCAAGGCATGCAAAACATCGTCACTCGCCTCACGAGCTCACCCAGATCTGCTTGCTTTTAAGTGGGCACATTGTCAGTCACAAAGAGGAAGGAGCGATCTCTTCCTGTCTTTACCAACAACACGCCCCCCCTCCCCCACACGCGTCACGCATTCAATGCTTCCCCAGTTGATTCACACACCTGTTTGCCCCAGTACCCCACCATTGGGTTCCTGTGGTCTCCTTCCACTCTGCAGGCCCGGTCTCTGACCTTTCCGACTCCATCATCACAACTCTTTTCCTTTTCCTTTGGCCAGCAACCTAGAACCTCTAGCCGTACTGCCTTCCGGACCTAAGAACTTCACCCTCCCCTAACCGATCACATATTCTCCTTCTCTTGATTCTGCGGCATCTGGAGGCAAGATCATAAGATGTGGAAGATCGGCAACATATACTTCATCGCCGCCGTGGCGGTGATCGGTACGTCTGAGCCCTTTTCTCTTGGGCCATTCTTCTCGTTCGGATAGCTTGTCTAACGGTGGAATCATCACAGGCGGAGCCTTGTTTGGCTTTGATATTTCGTCCATGTCGGCTATCATCTCGACCCAACCCTATCTCTGCCAGTTCAACCAAAGGGGCCATGATGAGAATGGCCTCTGTCTCGGACCCACTGACGACGTTCAGGGTGGTATCACTGCTGCCATGCCCGGCGGCTCTTGGCTCGGCGCTCTCGTGTCTGGCATTGTCTCGGATGCTTTTGGGCGCAAGACTTCGATTCAGCTTGGCGCCATTATCTGGTAGGTCGCAACTCTTCTTGGACTTTGGTGTTGCCGTGGTGGAGCTATGGACTGACCTGCATCGTCCAGGATTATTGGTTCAGTGGTTGTATGCGCTTCGGTCAACATTCCCATGTTGGCCATTGGTCGCGTCATCAACGGGTTCTCGGTCGGAATATGCTCTGCCCAAGTTCCTGTGTACATCTCTGAAATCTCCCCTCCTTCGAAGCGCGGTCGTCTCATCGGTTTCCAACAATGGGCTATCACCTGGGGCATACTCATCATGTTCTTCATCTGCTACGGCAGCTCCTTCATCCCGGGCACCGCCGCCTTCCGTCTTCCTTGGGGTCTTCAAGCTGTTCCCGCCGTCCTCCTGTTCCTGGGACTGGTCTTTCTTCCGGAGTCCCCTCGCTGGCTCGCCAAGAAGGATCGTTGGGAGCAAGCCGTGGAAGTGCTGACGCTGATCCACGGAAAGGGAGATCCCAACTCTCCATGGGTCATAAGGGAGCTTTCGGAGATTCGCGAGGTGGTGGAGTTTGAGCGCGCCAATGCTGATGTCAGCTACTTTGAGCTCTTCACTCCCGGCATGATTAACCGAACCCAGGTCGGCGTCTTTACGCAAATTTGGTCGCAGTTGACGGGCATGAATGTCATGATGTACTACATTACCTATGTTTTCACCATGGCAGGCCTGTCCGAGCCTGGTACCAACGCCGTCCTTCTCCCGAGCGGCATTCAGTTTGTCATCAATGTCGTGATGACCGTTCCCGCCCTCCTCTGGATGGATCGCTGGGGTCGCCGACCGACTCTCCTTGTGGGCGCATTCCTGATGTGTTTCTGGCTGTGTATCAACGCAGGCCTCTTTGCCGTCTACGGCCGCGCGCCCTACCCCGGAGAGTTCATCTCGACGGCAGAGTCGATGGCGGTGGAGGGACCGCCCGCCAAGGCTATCATCGCCGCGACTTACCTGTTTGTCGCCTCATTTGCGCCCACCTGGGGTCCTGTCTCCTGGACCTACCCTCCCGAGCTGTTCCCCCTTCGTCTTCGTGGAAAAGCGGTTGCCCTGTGCACATCGGCAAATTGGGCCTTCAACTTTGCCCTGGCCTACTTTGTTCCTGCGGCCTTTGCCAACATTACCTGGAGGGTCTATGTTATTTTTGCGACATTCTGCGCAGCCATGTTCCTGCATGTATTTTTCATGTTCCCGGAAACCGCCAACAAGCCGCTTGAGGAGATTGAGGAGATGTTTGATGATACCAAGCCTGGCGGTACGTTTTATGCCTTCCTGTTTCTCTTCGATTCCTGCTAACCATTTTGTTTCGTTGAACAGCCATCAAGTATATTGGGACTCCCGCTTGGAAGACCAAAAATACGCGCAATCTTGCCCTCAGACAGGAGCGCAACGAAATGTTGTCGTCGGAGGAAAAGATGGGTGTCTCTGGAGAACACAAGGAATCAGCTGCTTGAGCATTTCTTGTAGTTCCGACATTTTTTTTTGTTCTCGGGCATTTTGCGGTTCGAACTGGCAGGGAGAAAGGCTTGTTATCGTTGGGACGAAGTCTAGCCACGAATTCACTTACTCCTTGGCAAAGGCGCATACCAAATTTGAGGGCAAGAGGACATGGGAAGCCTCCTCTGCCATGACGTATCATGATTAGCAGCAAACCTATGGGGTTATTTTACTCGGAATTATGAGGTAGCATGGGTCATAGGTTACGTTTTCGGCAGCTACCATACATCAACTAGTTGATCAACTTTAACCCTGGAGGTGCCGCTTGATTGCAGGTGTGATGATGACCACCCCCAGGTGTGGACCCGACGTGAAGAAACTGACAGAATCAAGGCAGTTAGAGAGGGTTCTTATCATAGGATGCACAGACATGACCCTTCGCAAGACTGGCGTCATGTACCGGGATGCATCTCCATGTTCCAACCGCAAGAAGCTCGGACAATACCGATTACATCAGATACTTGTAGTGCCTCTCTTGAACCTGTTCAGACATGTGTTGAAAGTTCGAGTTGCTCATTTTGATGTGGATGATTTGAAACGGATTCTGTTGCTCATCCAGAGCCCAAGGAAACCATGGCTGCCCAAGCCGAACAGCATTTGTCGCCCCAGGAGAATACGCCAATAGCAGCACCAGAGGAGCCATCAGCCAACACAGACGCTCCTCCCTCTGGCATTACGCAAAGCGCGCCAGAAAACCTTTATCACACGACACTGACAATCACCGAACACCACGAGTCGACCTCTGGAGCCACCCGCACCCCTTATGTCCTGGGAACCCACACCGATCTGGACTCCGCAAAAGCCTGGGCCCAGGTGGCCCTGAAAGAGTCGCTCAACTACTCGCCTTCGGATTTCACCAAGTTTGTCACCCAGTCGAGCCTCCATCCGTATCAGGAATGGCCCTACGGCGACAACATTCAGGTGTACGCCCTGTCCCCCTCGGGACAGGAATTCCTCGTCGGCGTCGTGACCAAGCCCAACGAGGACAAGCTGCCTCATCACTCCCACCCCGGAGAAGGGAAAGAGGGCGCCGGCCCGACGGTCCCGCAGCACGAGACGGATACCTGTTGTGGACATGACGATTTGCATTACATCTTGCAGACAAAACGGGATTTCAAACATGCCAAAGGGGACAAGAACAGCAACGCGTTTCAGCGGACCGAGCTGGCGGGTTGCTGTGTGCCCCGGAAGGAGGCGTTTGAAAAGGCCAAGAGCTTGCTGCGCGGGGAGAGGGACCGGGGCATGTTTGCGCAGTATGACGAGCGGGAGACGGGGGATGAGGAGAGCGAGATTGACGAGAGGAGGTGGGGGAAGGGGTCGGGGTGGCCGTTTGGGGAGGAGGTGGTTGTTCATGCTGTTGGGCACGGTGGAGAGAATTATGAGGTGGCTGTCAAGTCTGTCAGTGGGGCGAAGAGGAGGAGGAGTAAGCCTCGTCTGGAGATGGGGGAGATGGAGCGTTGAGGATCGTATTACTTTCCATTGCTCTTGGCGGTGGTCAGATTGGTGTATTTCCATGATTTGGTCTATTTGACAATGAAGAACTCAGACATAAATAACCCTGTGCCAAAACTTCTTCCACTTCCCTCTTCTCATCATTGCGCCGCTGCCTTCCCTCTCGAGGAATAACTCGATCCTCTGCCTTGCGTCCTCGGGCATCTCACCTATGCTGTCGTTGATGAGATCAAGGCATACTTTCGATGCTATTTGTTCAGTGTGTCAGTAGTTTCTGAATCTATCTCGACTCCAACAGCAACTCACGAATCGAGGTATCGCCCCCTTCCAGAGCCGCCCTCATTCTCGCTGAATTATAGCACCCGAACCTGTCCTGCACCGCCAGCATCTGCTTCCATAGGATTTCCGTATCCAACTCTTCCTCTTCCTCATCGTAGTCCCCAACATATCCGTGGAATGGCCGAGGCTGGCTGCTCCTCCACGACTCGGACCTCGACGCCGGCCTTTTCTGGCTCGAGGTTCGACTCAGGCTGCCATATTTGTGTTGATTTGGTGATAGACGGTGGTGGCTTGGTTGAAGGTCACGGAGGTGAGAGTGGTGTGTTTGATGGCTAGCTGTTGTCTCCAGCAGCGGACACGGCGTGATGGCGTCGTCGTCGAGATCGTAGCCGCTGTTGCTGCTGGCTGAAGATGACTTGCCAGAGTTTATCCTCGAATGGCCGGGGTGGTGTTGAAAATCTGACATTTCTAGATCTCCGTGTGGTGATGACCTGTGGTGGTGGTGATGGTGGTGGTGGTGGTGGTGGTGTGAAAAGTGGTATCTTTTGAAAAAGGGCATGGTCGCGGCTGAATTTGGGACGAGGTCAATGATTTTTCTATGCAGGGTTTTGGCCAGGGGTTGATGTGTTTGGATAAGAATGACGACAAGAGTGAAATCAGATGAACAAAATATGATCTATTCCAACGGGGGCACCGACAATTTCAGAGCTGGGGTGAAAAAGCAAACTTCATCAAAGATCGTGGTACGCAGCCCCACATATCTCTGTCCGTTTGCTATCTGCTCACTTTCTTTCCCGAATGGAGCTTTATCACAATCCAGACAGCCAGCCCACAAAATCTTTCTGTCGCGGTTGGAGGAGGTGAAAATACCCGAGACAAAGAAAAGCTTGAGCAACCGATTGGTGAAGCGAAAAAAGAAAAAGAAAAAAAAAGATCTTTCAAATTGGAAAGCTGAGTAAGACGGTCTGCCTTACCTGTGGCACCATCCCGTGCCAACCGGGTCCGGATGCGGTTCCGTCCTGTTCGGTTTGCAATCCCCCCCCCCTTTTCTTTTTGACGTGTGGGGGCTACCTAGTGTCCCCGAATGCAGGATTTCCGAGCGGTACTTTTGAACAATGAGACAGGTATAAATTAGAGATAGAGTTGGCAGTATGCTTCTCGAACAGTGCACTAGGGCAAGAATATTGATAAAGTGGAATAAAGAACTGTCGGCCCTCCAAATCTTAGATGACCAGATTGTCGGTATCAGCAGCAAACCGTCGAAACAAAGAAACAGAAACATCCAGACGAATGCTTCGTCCTTGATAGGGCACCAGACCCTATATACACCACTAGAGTCATAAGAGTCGCGCGGCGCGCATGGAAAATTGGCAACACAAACGGTGGCTATGCCCCCTTCAACCATACTTCCAACGCCGTCACGCGTCCTCTCATGACGACCGCCCCGTCAGCAATCAGATTCCACCCATCTCTTCTTGTCCAGGGCGATGCTGCACCCAAATAGTCTACAGTATGGCAGCCAATCAACCATGACACAACCCCACCACAATCCCAAACCTGCCATCTCCCAGCTTTCGCTGTCTTGCCTGCATGAGACCCGCATGACGATTGGAAATTCCAGCACACCAAATCACACTACTCAGCCGATGCCACGACCGCGCGGATGGCCCTGGGGTCTAAGTAATTGAGGCTGTGTCAATGGCGCCCGGCGTATTTGGTCCGTTGGGTGTGCCTGACTGCCGGGCCTAGACCGTTGCTGCCCGGTGCCCGAGTCTTGAATCAGGAATTCGTATTATCCAACGGGACGGATGATTTTGGGGCAAGGTAGGTAGGTAGAATATGCATGATTCTATTAGTCTCAAGAAGTAATCAAACTGTCAGGGCAAACTTTTCTCCCACCAACTCCTCGCTCAGCCTCCATAGCCTCTCGGCAGCAACAGGGTCCTTGGCATGGTGATGTGGCTCTGTGAACTGGCAATCTACCAGATATAAACCTTTGGTATCTGTTCCTCTGTCAGTTTCTATTATCTGTAAGATGGGGGCGGCACAAAAGAAGGCAGAACACACCGTTCAAAGCCGGATCCAAGGCGGCAACCAACGTGGTGGATGAGCCTTCATCAGGAGATTTCCAGTACGGGGCCACCTTGTAGAACTGTGCCGCCAGCTCTTCGTCTTGATCTCTGCTCAAGTCGGTCAAGATGCCTGTTGAACATGGTTCGTTAGCTTGCTCATAGAACCTGAGGTGAGAAGAAGAAAAGATGACGTACTTCCTGGGTGCAGCGTATAAGCCGTAATCCCCTGAGAAGGCAAGTATTTTTGCAGATAGAAGGTGAACAAGATATTGGCTGTCTTGCTCTGCGCGTACGTGACGATCCCGTTGTAGCCATCCTCAGTGCACTTTGCAAAGGCCCCGGCCAACGGCTTGAAATGGTCTTCCTCTGGCGGGACTTCTTTTCCTCCTTCAAAGTTGTAATCCGAGAACCGAATGGGAGACAGCCTGTGGCCGGCACTGGTGAGACTGATGATTCTGGTTGCCCCGGGAGGGTTTGTTTTGCCTGCCTTGCGCAACAAAGGAAGAAGGAGGTTGGTGAAAAGAAAAGGCCCGATATGGTTGGTGCCAAACTGCTGCTCGATGCCTTCCGGTGTCTTTTGGCGGGTCACAACACAGATTCCAGCGTTGTTGACGAGAATGTCCAACTTGTCTGTGAGCCTGGAGACTTCGGCGGCCGCTTGACGGATGGACTTTTGCGAACTGAGGTCGAGAAGGACAATCTCGAGTTTGACAGATGGATATGCCTCTTTTATCTGGGAGGCTACTTCTTCGACGCGAGCTCGGGTGCGAGATGCAAGAATGAGAAGCCCTGGGGCCTGAGAGGCAAAATTAAGAGCAGTCGAAGATCCGATCCCTTTAGGACTGACGCCGGTGATCAGCACTGTGGTTGTTAGCAGCTGATTGACAGGCTGAGTTTCGACTTGATAAGGCCGGGTGTGAAGAGGACGTACCAGTCTTTCCTCTGATCTGGTCAGCAAACACCTTGGCCACCTCCGATCCTAGTGTTTGCTGGCCAAAATCCGTCCGGGAAGTCATCTTGAGTGGATACTCTCAATGTAAACAAACCGATGTCTCTTCAGGGGTGGTACCTTAGGTATGCAGGTTGAAAGTTCTGAATCAGCCTGCGGAAGGGTCCAGGTCTTTTATTCTTGGTGAGCATGACACGTAACCTACCGGCACAGCGGTTCATCTTTATCCGCCACATTCTCAACTGGTAGTTGTCGGCAATTGTTAAATAGCCATTAGTCTAGATGATGGTCATCTGGGGACACTAGGTAGTCCTACCCCGCACGCTTGACAGCACCCCCAATCCCCCATGAAATCAAGCCAGAGCTTTATCGGGAAACGACGTCCGCCGACGAGGTGAGAGGCTGTCGGTCAAGCCAGTTCGATTTCTCGAAGCTTAAAGCCTTCCTCCTCCACAGCTTCACCGTTCATGATGCCATGAACATACGCCTGCCCCACAAGACTCATCACTTCATTCTCTCCCTCTTTTTCTTTCCGTTCCTCCTGGTTTTCTTCTCCAATGTCACATCCCGGATGGCCATGGCGCAGAATAAAAGGCCCCTCTGCACCAGCCAGAATCGCAACAACATCTCCCACTTTGGCGCTCGCTGGCCCCAGTCCAAGATACCCCTTTTCCGTCAGAAACAACTTGTGCTTCCCATATCTCTTATGAAAACTAGCCGAGAACCGCTCATCGTTTTGTCGAACGAGCACAATGTCATGGCCCCTCTTTCTTCTCATGACATAAGTTGGGTTGTAAAAGAACTGTTCCAGCTCCTCCCAGTTTGGTGTATTTGGGTTGTCTTCCGTCAAAGCCAAGATCTGGAGTTTTGTCAGAGTATAAATCAACCAGCCATGCCGATCAGAGCTCAGGAATCTCGGTCTCTGGCAGAGATGACGCAGGATTTCCTCCCGGCCCAATGTGTCGAACTCGGCGAATGTCCACTTTTCTTGAGCCTTACCCAGTGCATCCATAAAGCCTGTGCAGCAATCCGGTGGCGGCCCAGGATCACCTCTGGCTTCCTGCTTGGCTTGGTCCTCTGCATATGCCTCTGACTCAATCTCTGCCCTGACCATGATCATCGCTGACAATAACTCTTTGAAAAGAATCCCATAGTCCTTCGGAGCAGGGACAACAGATTCAGAAGTTTGGTTCGCGCACAGGGTCCTCCAAAGAACCTCTGTTCGTGGCTCTCCTGTATGTTGATAGGGTTGCGAGAGCAACATGCACAATTCAAACCAAGAGGGATCAAGCAAAACAGAGGAGTTGACGTGGTTCGTTCTGTCATTTCCCGTCTCCACGATGGTGTCAAATAGGCAGCCCTTCAACTTCAGGCGATCCCAGGACGATGAAGGCAGAAGCTGCGGTGTCTTGTTCTCCACCCCAGCCGCGCAGAAGAAGCCATTTGAGCACATCATGTTGAAGTATGGCAGTGAGAGATCGGGCGTCCATGATGGGGAGGGTTTGATCCTTCTGATAGAAGCGTCTTGAACACATGACAGGATTTGCAATGACGAGTAATGGTCGATCATGTGCTTGGTCGTCAGTGCATAGACAAGCTCGACAGGACTGGTGTAATCCACAGCCATCTTTGCCTTGAGATCCGTCTTCATAAGTCCAAACATGCCATAGACTTTATCGCGGGGATCGGTGGCTGAAAAGATCCAGGTATCGTAGATGAGGTTCTCAAAAGTGATCCTGGTCTGTGGTTCCGGTGCCGAGGTGCCATAGTAGAAATCTCTCCAGCGGGCCAACTGGACGGTATTGTGCTCCAAGGCAACTGCAATTTCGTGAGCTTGCATGAAGAGAGTGCTGGGACTGAAGCCCAGGACTTTGCAGCGAGCCTCAACGGTGCGTGCTGCTGTCACTAGGACTTCCCAGCAAATCTGGTGACTGCCGCACATCAGAAAGAGCTCTCGGGAGAGGATGACCTCCTGGACAATCCACAAGCGCGAAAACCACTGTCTTTTGAAAAAAGCGGCTAAACTGCACCACTCCATCCAACTAATGTAGGGCACACCACTCGCCGTGTAGACATCAGGTTCTTGCTGGCGAAAGGGGGTAATATTGCTTTGAACAAAGACGTCTTGGGGACATGCTGCCAATTTTGAAATGGCCTCGACAGCGTCTGTGGTGTACTGATCTCCACGACCCAGCCAGATGATTGTCCGGGCCGCTTTTCGGTACACATCTCCCATCATCTGAACCTGGAAAGCCCGCTCTTCGAGATCATCTTGGTTGATGCAGACAGCGTCAACCCAGATCCGGAATTCCTGGCTGCGGGGTATTTGGAAGGGACTGTCTTGCTGTTCGAGAGAGCTCTGGAGCTCCTGAAGAAAATCGGCCAAGTTGGTCTGTATGTAGATGCTTTTTCCGTGACAAACAGTCTCGGTTTTTGACTCGCTGGTGTACTCGCCCGAGACGGTGTTGAAGTACTCGGTGAAGTCCACGCCATTGGCATGAGGGTTGCTCCAAGTATAGGATAGGGCGTAGAAGAAAGGGTCGTCCGCAAGATCGATCAACTCGAGAGAAATGCAGAGCTTTCCCTCTCGTACACCCTTGATTTGGAGCACCCTGATGGATGTTCCTGTTGGAAGGGGTTTGTACTGGTAGCGTTGGTGATCATCGGCCGTCACAGCGGTTGGTGACCTCATGTTGATGGATGGTGGTGCCTGGATTAGTTAAGGTATGGGTTTGCTTTCTCCTCCATGTCTGTGAGAGTCCCGAGCACAGATGGTGAGGAGAAAGGGGTTGGGTCGGGTCATTCCTGTCCGACTTGCTGCTTGTGGGAGCCAATAGTTGTTCTTCTGATGCTGGCTTGTCTCCACCAAAGGATCCTATTCACCACAGCCAAAGATGCCATGCCATAGTGTAGCATTACTCGGATAATTGCAAATTCCTTGAAAGTTGTATATGCATGTTGACTATGCAGATATCGATGCCATATGGTCAGTGCAGGCCCTCGTCGCATGATCGCAGTATCGTGTGTAGGCTCTTTGCGAAGGGTATCCAACATGGAATAACCAGAAGTATGCCATTGAGCGGAACCGGGCATCGTTGCTGGAAGCACGCGGGTCGGAGGTCTTTAGGTCGGAGGTGACTGATGCAGTCGCTTGCTGTTGTTGGCAATAGTCGGGCGCGGCGGGTGCTTGACAGGCAAGCTGCAGTGCCTAAGGTATTAGCGACGTTGCTGTTTTCTGTCAAGGAAATCCAGGTGCTGCTCTTTGCCGTCATCATCGGTGCAGCGTGTTGTTGCTGGTATTCCTGCCACTGGTTTGGGTTGCTGTCACTGGTGGTTTCCCTTTGATTGCCAAAAGGCAGTGAAGCTTACGCAATTTCCAAGTCGCGACTACCACTTTCTCCATACTGCCCACTCCACATTTTAATCAACTCTAAAACTCTGTTGATGGGTTTCCATGTGGTTTCTGTTGACCCGAAGTCACTGCCGTCCACTGCTGTTTGCAGCGACACCCGCAATGTTGAGGAACAGCGGGCCACTGCCAAAATTACAGTGGTTGACGTCACACCACACCGCCTACAATAGCAGACCAACCAGGCATCGCCGTCACTCACGCTCTTTTACAAACTGACTATTTTCACCTCATTCTCATCAAACCACATCATCAACAAAACGAGCATACAAGATGCCTACCCTCTCAGAAGTCGTCAAACGCGACCATGCGCGCATCACCGACGCATATCACGTCCTCGTGGAAACCAAACCCGAGGAGCGCAACGCCGATGAGTTTGTTTGGGCCCTAGCCCGCTACCTTATCGTCGAGAACCTTGCTCTTATCCCAGCCTTGGAGTACCATATCTCCGGGGGATCAGAACGACAGCGGCGGTTGTCTGATGACTACAACAGTGTAAGCTTGCTTTGTTTGCACGCTCAGGTTGAACCTCGACCACAAACTGACCTCGCATTAGATCAACGCGAAACTCCGCCACATGGCCAAATACGACCCATCAGAGGAGAGCTTCGAGTCGGCACTCAAGGCCATCTGGGTTGATCTGGAGCCTCACATCCGGGAAGAGACCGATGGGGACCTTGACGAACTCGAACGCAAGATGGAGCCTGAGGATTCACGAAAGCTGGGGCAAAAGTACGAGACACTCAGAGACATGTTGCAGCGTCCATATGGCGCGTTTGGGGTTCCAAATGCTGAAATCATGGATGACGTGCTTGGCACCACAAAAGAGCAGCTGATGGAGAGAATGGGCAACGGAATCTGATGGACAGGCCAACACCAAGATAGGTATACTATTAACCTGGTCAGACAGAGACCTAATCATAATCATAACAAAAGACTCTCTGCAGACCATCATGGAAGCGATAGAATCCACCAATGTGATGAATTTAAGGGGCTAAAAAGGGGCGAAATTTGTTTCCTTGGCAACCACACGTCGGCCTCGACTGCCGACAGCCATTTCATTTGCTATAGTCTCAACACAGGTGAAACGTCTGACCCAGAAGCATGGTTTGGTTGCCCGGGACGGCGTCGCTCGGCCTCATCCGAGAAACAGGTTCACTGCCACACACAGACGACGATCCGGCCCACTCTCCGGCGATGAGACTGTCTCTGCCTTTGGCTAACCGTCCGTTCAACTTTAAAAAAGATTCGAATTGTGGATGACGACATGTCAAGCATGTCCAGAATTGCACAGGTGATCGAATAGGATAGCCTTCTCGCCCTATGTCTCTCTTTTTTGCTAGCCGCTGGTGTTACCCTAGAGGCCATCTCAGTACATCACAAGGTACTCTGGCTGTTCTGGTTCTTCTTGGCCAATGCTTGGTCAAATATATTCGCATCCAAGCACAAGGTGACAACCGGCCAACTGATAGCAATCTTGGAGGCCTCTGCCTAACCCTATTCCTTGGTACTCAAGCACGAGTATCGCGCTATTTGTCGGGATGGCGCACTGTAGAGCTGCTCTCCCGAACCCGAGCTCCCACAATGTCTAAGACAACTTCAGGTGCCTTACCACGCTTTCCTGACCGAACAAGAGATTTGGATGACCAAGCAATCCCAGAAATTTCCTTTGCAACAAACCTTGTCACATCAAAGATGTTGAAGCGACGGAGATTCTCGCCCACAGGTCAATAGATACCCACAACACAACAAGAAGCGTTTAGGACCGAGACCGTACATCCATATGTCGGGCAGGTTGACCGCGGCACTGGGAGCAACACAAAGTCGGAAGAGCGAAGGTCCCGGATATGTTTGTGTCCGATGACCCATCCATCTTTATTCTTTTCTTCGAATAGAAAGCACAGCGAGAAAAGGTAGATGACAAAGATTCGCAACAGAATCACTACGTCCAGCTGCACAGTGTCCGCTCAACTCGAGCAGCAGCCAACCATGCCAACCGGGAAATGTGACTGAAGAAAGAAAATCTCGGCAAGGTGCAGTCTGACTTGATGCTCGCGGCCGAACAGGAAAGCGAATCAGGGAGCCCGGACCACGACGAAAGAAACATGAGGGAGGGTCGGACCACAGATGACACACACCGCGCCGGGTGTACGTGTTTCACAGCAGCAGCAGCAGCAGCTGGATAGAGCAGCAGTCAGGCGGACGGTATTCCAGGGTCGAAAATGAGCCGGAGCACAGACAAGACACCTGTGCCTTTCCGCCCCGGAGCTTAGCCTTGCCGTTGTTCAGATGCAGCGGCATGTGCGTTAGATTTCTTTTAGCTCATGAGCGGCGACACGCTGCTAGATATAGCATGGGGCTAGAGGAGCCGGTGGCATAGGTCGGTATTGGAGACGGTATGGGGAAAAGAATTTGACCGACGAGTGGGGATTCCAAGGCTTGGGGAACACGACGGATGGCTTTTGGAATTCGGATGCCGTACTCTTGTTACACCTCCCTAGCGGGTAGCTATCTGCTATCTGATGCTGTATCATGCTGTGTGGCTCGTTGTTAGGTCGAGTCAGGCCAGACTTGCAACACTGGGGGGAAGCTGTATGCTGTGTACTGTTGTACCAATGAGGGAGGATCGTGAAAAAAACACCAGATATGGCGCCGTATGGCATGGGAAATGTTCAAATGATACTTGATCCATTTTCCTGACGGACAGATATCTTACTTTTACAATAGTGAGTGCCTGGTATATCGAGCACCCAGAGGGTAGCACGTTTCTGGCGGGGGACAATAATAGCCATTAACGGCTCATCCAAGGGATCATCAAGGAGGCTGAAATTCATTCATCCCAACGTCTTGACGAGCAATTCGGAGTACCTACTACCCTATATAGCACACCACGCTATTTCCTGCACAGCAACCACACCACTATTTCACTGACTGACACCTCCGTTCATGCCGCCTATCATTGTCGGACTTTACCCTGCCTCAAGCTTCCTCAATCATGTTGAGTGAAGGGACACCAGCACATCGACACCAACCCAACACAAGAGCCCGCGATATTGTATCCCCCAAAAACCCTCTATTTTTGGACCATCAAACTCCAAATCATGGCTTCCACATGATCATCCCCAATGTCTCACTTCTTTCACTCCATTGCATCCCCCCCAATAAGGTGTGGTTCGTTCCTAGATGGCTTGCCCCGTGGCGTTGAAACATCAGATAAACCGCAGCTCTGTACACCCACCCCACTTGCAGAGAGCAGGCCACGCAAGCCACCATCCCTCTCGTAGGTACCAGCACAGTGCACCACTGTCCCCGTGGCTTCAAGATACCCTGATCGCTCTGACTCTCCGATACGCTTCTCTCTTGCAGTTGCATTTTCTTCCCCGTCTCTACGCGGTAAATAAGGTGTGGGTGAGCAGGTACCTAAGGTAGGGTAACAACCAAAGATGTGATGATGATGCGGGTAAACTGAAACAACGGCCTTTTCTTTGGCCCTCCTTTTTGCCCTGCCTGTTCCCGTGTCTTTCAGCCCATCTCGGCCAGTCTAGGTCAAACCACTCCAAAGCCCCCAGGTACGTACCCATCCGCTAAAACAAAGAAGCCGCCTCATCACCATCACCCCCTCTGTCTCAGCCAAACCTCGATCAGGCACACTGCCCAAACCTTACCCTTCAGATGGGACGCACTTTGCCATGTGCGCAAGCCAAGCCCTCATCATCAGCCCCGGGTCCCGAGAAATCCTTCCCAACACTAGAAGATAGGCTAGTCGGCACCACCAGGGCTAACATGAAAAGCTAAGGCAGTCAAAAACAACAGGCTGCATGGCACCGGCAGAGGAACCCTCGGCGTCTGTAACCCCTTCACCACGACAACCAAACCCGACCGACCGTGACACTCGCACAGCATCCCGTAGTACCCTTACCACAAAATAATTGACACACAAAGGTAGGTTAACCACACATTATATTGTGAACCATGCTTTGAAGGATGTTTGTCTGGCCTTAAAAGATAGTTATAGGCCCTTAAATACAGTCTAAAAGGTCTTCAGATATATTCAAAAGGCCTATTAATCTGCTTTTGAGGTATGGTTTATAATATGGTATAGGTTAACTTACTTTTGCTGTGCCAATTATTTTGTGGGGAGGGTGTGTAGATCGGGCCGTGTCAGCTACCCTCCACTTTTCTCTTCCATCCCATGCTGGCATCACGGTCAACAAGGCAAAATTCGAGGAGGTTTCGATTGGAAGGGGTTCAAGACTGAATTGGTAGGCAATGGACACAGCATGCTGCTTCGCTTGGCTGGCCTCATGCTGAATAACAGCTAGCTAATAGCTCCTTCTGTCTCTTTGCCTTTTGCCCATGTCCTCCCACACACCTCATGGTTGGCCGCCGCCACCGCCGCCGTGTCCCCTTGTGCCGGAACCGAGTCCAAACCCGAACCCAATTCCTACCACCCCTGGTAATGCTGTGAATGTTCCATCTAATTTTTTTTGTCCGGCGCCCCCAATGCGATGCCCTCTGAGTCCTACAGACACCCAGTCGTCTGATCCCCCCAACCAAGCTCCATGCCTTCCAGTAGATAAGATGGATAGATACACAGATACATCTTTTTATGTACAAGACAACTCCTCAGCAGTGCCAGAACATGGTCTAGCTCTAAATAACATGGTGTAAACAATAAGGTGTAACCTGCTTTGCCATAGCAGCCACGATAAAATGAAGGGAAGGTAAAAGGATAACACCAGCGCCTATCAGATGTGATATGCCATACCAGCCCGACAAACATTATGTAAGGAATGATGTTAACCGATGGGGTATCTCAGTTAAGGAAAGAAAATGTGGAAAAAAAAAGACAAAAAAAAAAAAAGAAAACCGCAATGCTATGCAATGCTGTCAGAAAGCCGACTGCTCAGGTTCATATCGAGACGTGTCGTGCTCTTTGTAAAGTTTTGTGGAGTGGTGTCTTTGAGACATGGGCCTCGAGAGTGGTGGTTACTTTCTCAGGCCAACCTTCTCGGCCAAATTCTTCAACCAGATCGAGGCGCTCCTCTTCTCGTCGTGTCCGTCGCGGACCATGACAGCATCGCGTGCCATGGGCCCCACAATCTCGGAATCTCCTAGTGCCGGAAACTTGCCGTCATTATTCTGGATTTGGGGAATTCCACACGGAACCATTTCTTCGGCCGTCCGTCGCAAATGCGAGATAATGGAAGGGTTGCCGTTCCCAGACTGACCCACCCTCTGGATCAGGGCTTGCTCCGCCTGCTGCCACTCACTCTCAATGTCGGCCCACTTGGCCTCGGTGAGGGCGTACGTCTTGGAGGTGGTGCCGTAGTGTTCTCCGGTCCGCCCGAGATGCTTTGCGTAATTGGTCCTGGCCAGGTTCCAGTCTGAACAGAATGCTTGAAAGGTGACCAGATCCGCCTTCTCGGGAACATATGGCTTTGGGTCAATGGTGAAGTTTGCGTGTCCCAGACGGTCCGACCATGCATCTGGCTGCTGCTCCACAAGTATGGTGGGAGTCATCACCACGGGAGAAGGAAGGTCGCTGAAGATGCTCGACACAGTTCCTCGGCGGAGAGAGGTGAAAGACGCCTTTGTGCTGAGGGGAGGTGTCGGGTAGGGCGCCTGCACTGGAAACTCGGGCATCGGGGAGGGCACCACTGCGGGCGACTGCAAAGGCGACGTCTGAAGCGACTGCGGTTGGGTTTGGTGACCGGCTTTCTCCATCATCAGAGGTGGGAGAAGAGGGGTGGTGGCCATGGATCGGTCCCGCTCCAGACGTTTTCCCATGGCCGCTGGCTGGATATCAAGGGGAGAAGTCGGCACAATACTGTCGGTGCTCTCGTAGAATGATAGCGCAGGCGTTGCGGGAACAGACTCGGGGACGCGGGCCATGGCCGGCACAGAGACGGATGACGATCTGCTCGAGGCGGCATGAGAGAAGCTGGGCCTTCGTTGTTCTGCAAGAGCTGGATCAGATGCGGGTGAAAACGCCAGGTTGGCACGCCTGGACACGGATGCCGATCTCCAACGCGGCAGGCTTGTCAATCTTGAACCAAGCCTGGTCCCCCAGCTCGCAATCCCTGCATCGGATCCGACGCGCCTTTTCCTAGACCGTGGGCTTCCGTTGAAATCACCGTCGCTCAGAGACCCCAAGTCGTAGTCTGATCCAGGTCTCGAGTAGGGATGGGTGCTTCTACCTTTCCTGGTGTCGTTTTTGTAATCGCATGAACATCCAGCATCACCTGTTTGCGCAGTTTGGGTTAGCACAGCGTAACGCAAAAGAAGAAAAAAAGACGAAAATCCAATCCTTACACAAGCAGTAGGACCAGGTAGGGAATTCAGTGTCCCCATACTCGGACACAATAAAGGCCGTGTTGTCGTCCTCCCTCTCTGATGGGTCCTCCTGAACATCCGGCAGTGGCAGTTTGGTAGGCGACTTGATGACATGTATGGGGTGGGAGGGCGAAGCCGGGCTGTCGGTGGTTTCGAGAGACGATGACGAGCTGGAGAACCTGGCTTGCTGGCTGGAGCGCGAAAAGGTTGGCGTGACAGGTGACGGCAGAGCGAAGTCGGACGATGATGAGGCCGAGTTGAAGGTGAAGAACAGCTGAGCGTACTGCTCTTCGTCAAGACATGGTGGTGGGAGCTGGTGGTGTAGTTGCTGCTGCTGAAGCTCGTGTTTCCTCCTCTCCTCCACCAGCTGCGGCAGCCGTAGTTCCTTTAATTGGGTCGACATGTGTTGCTGGCGACCTTGGACGATGGGTGTAGGTTTGCGGCGTCTGGGGAAGGGAATCGAGTGGCGGGGTAGGTAGGTAGAGTTAGGGTCGGGGGGAGTAGGGTAAAAAAGGAAGATAATTTGTCGTTGGGGTCAGACAGACAGAGAGAGACAGACAGACAGACAGACAGACAGACACGGCAGACAGTGACTTTCTTGTGTGGCACACCCGAGGTGGGTGTGGGAGTGACCTGGAGTGCTGGAGCAGCTCAAGTGGGCGGTGGACGGTGGGTGGGTGGTGGGCTGGTGAGCCGACGGGGCAAGGGTGTGTGAATGGTCAACAACCTGTGGATGGTGGGGTTCAATTGGGTTTCCAGGGTTTGAGAGTGAGGGTGCCAGGGTGTCAGGGTACCAGTTGTGCGTTGGTCACTGCTCGGGTTTGCGGGGCATCCAGCCCGGTCCAAAATCCAAATGGAAGCCGCCAAAGACAGACAAACTCCACCACCCAAAAAAAAAGCTCTGGAACCAAGTACCGTCCCGGATGCCAAAAAGAGGCTATCGACGGCGCGAGAGAGACACGGGCAACAACAAGAGAGCGCAACGCTGGAAACGCTGGCGGCTGTTGGCGCGACTCCTGTGACGGCCGGCGCCCAACTTTCGAACTTTGGTTTTTTGTCCTGTCCCTGTACGTCACCACCCGCGGCAAAACAACGATTGCTGATCCCGACTTTCGGGCCTGGGACTTAGAACTTGGAGATGGGGGGAAGGGAGCGGGTGAGTTGCAATGTCAACACTGAAGAACAACGGCAGAAAAGAGGAGGCATCTGCGGCCATCAGATATGCTTTTTTTTTTTTGCCAGCCTGTCCGGGCCAATTGCTGGCCGCATGCTTTGATGAGCATAGTGGTGGTGCGGGATGGCTTTTGTAACTCTCGTGTTTTTCCTGCTCTGGCTACACTACTCCGTGTCTCGCGACATGTTCTTTGCAACTTGAAGCTTGTCCAATGTTTTTTTACTCCAGGCTTTTGTTGCCCTCTTGAGCCGGAATCGGTCAATGCCAGAGAGCACGACACCGCACCACCGATATCGATGCAAGAATCTCAGGTGGGCGGCGGCGGCGGTGGTGGTGGTGGTGGCCGGTTGTGTCAGTGGCACCACGTGTAAGTCGGGCACTTCAGATTCCTGGATGTCGCCGGGCGTGGGGTTGGCCGCGAGACCATGAACAAGATTCGAGGATTTATGGCGGTTGGCCTTCAGGTCAGAGACCCTGTTGGAGAACTGCTGCCATCACCGCTGTCGGAGCTGTGACTGCCAATCACTTCCCGCCGACTTGGCTTTCGCCTGACAGAAGACTCGCGAATCGCCGTGATTAGGCCAAAAATCCGGTAGAAAAAAAGCAAGAGATAGGTCTGAGTTGTACCAGAAATGGATTGGGCAAGTCGGATACGACGCGGGCAGCCAATCAGCCGGCTCCTTACACAGCCAACAGATGTCTGTCTGAGGGCTCTTCACCAACCCTCATTCAGCCAGGCCACGTGAACAGACCGTTGGCAAGAAGTGGTCGCGACCGGCAGCATCTGTGGGGGACTCTGGAAACACCTGTTCAAAGCCAGCCACTACATATTCCTGCCATGCCTTGTGTCATGACCAAATTGGACAAGAGGGACATGCAGCCAGCATGTCTGATGAAGTCGAATGCGAGAGGAGACGACTTTGAACGCTCTCACGGTGGGGCGAGCGATGGTGGATGGACATGACAGATGCATGCTTTGCTGTGGTGTGGTAGCGGTCAAGAAAAGGATCCAGGGTCTGGTAACGGGGAACTTGGGGATTGAAGACGCCGCGGGGAGCCAGTACCAAGCTCACCATGCCCTTTCTGACTCGCCTTGAAACGCCAAACCACCATATCCTCGCGACCAAAAGGGCCGTTTCTGACGGCCGGTTGAGGTGTGAGGTTGGACGGGCAGTCCAGGAGGGGCTCAGCGAGTTTGACTTCTTTGTGAGCTCCGACCTAAGGACAGCCAGCTGAAGATATTGAGTTGGAGACCCCTCATTGTCGGCGCTGAGATGGCGGTGTCGTGGTTGGGGCCCCGCAGTGCCAAGGTCTGATGCTATTGTACTGCTGGATCTCGCGTGCGGAGCGCGACGCGTTTGACTGACGGTCCACTGACAGGCTGGTTGAATTCTCGTCTTGATACTGCGGGCAAGGGATGGGCGTTGAACAATGGCTGATCAGGCATAAGAGCTTCGGACGGTTGATGACGCAAGAAATCGGAGAGGCTGGCAGGCCCGAAGAGCTGTGAGTTACTGAGTTGGCACCGCCAATCAGAATTTGCATATGCCGTCCATGTCGTCCCCGCTTTTCAGACAGAATTCAAACTTCGGAAAATCCAAGTTTTTTCCGCGAGGTGGGGCCGTCAGCCTTTTCCCCTCCAGCCCCGTGCTCCATCATGCTCGGTCATCAAAAAATCATTTTTTTTTCTCTTGACCATGCAGCTCACGTGAAGGTCACGCATTGTTTTACTATGCAGGTACTGGTTTAAGGTAAGACTTTCCTGATCATGGACAGGTCGAGGGCACAGTTGCTGACGAATAATGCAGGATATCCCAGATAATTAGCAGTCCTCACAGTTCTGATCTCATATCCGCAGGTCTGCCAGCGGAGAGGCATTGTTCGTTGCCACCACCCCGGGGTTCCGTCAGTCGCAGTCCAGACCTTCCCCGTCCTTCCCACTTGGTACCCTCCATCACGTCCAATATCGACCAGAAAAGTTGGAGGGTGTCTCTTGTCTATTCTACCGAATGTCATTCGTCCATCGCCACGCGTACCTTGCACAAGCGTGTTCTGCCGGTGTTCATCCTCGATACCACATCTTCCTCCTGCCCACTCATACCACTAATTATCTGTCCATATACACTGCTCTTGGCTTGTCCGGTACGCTGGGGTTTGGGGAGCCAATCTGTTATTAGCTGCCAGGTCCCGTCCACCCGTCCGGTCCGTTGACTACCCGTGGTAGCTGCTGGCAGTTCCACGGTTCCATCCTGCCACGGCTCCGGCTTGACTAATCAGCTCCGTCAAGCTCCGATCGAAACAGCAGAATCCGCGAGAAATCAGAGTTTTTGGCCGATTTCTGGCGGCATGGCTCCCAGATCACCCCACATCAGTGTGACCTTTTGCCGGACTGCTGACTGCATTGTTCAGTTTTATTGTTGATCGCTTGATGGTTCCGTCGATACGATGTCTATTACCTACGGATCAAGCCTGAAACTGCAACTGCCGACATATACAACTACATCACACAATTGCTGCTCACTGAACACATCGCGCCCAGAAAGGTCATCAGCATGCAGTCTTGGACATGGGCTGCTGTTGTCCCACGTTGCATGGCGGGAAGTATCTTACGCTCAGGAGCATCATCCATTGTTCACTGAGATGACATGACTGTCTCGCAAACTGAACCCCCTCGCATATGCGTTTTCCACCCGTCGCTCAAGCCTGCAAAGCTCTCAGGTGGCCAAGTAAGAGGAGAGGACCCAATCGTAACTCTCTCATGGATGCATTCACGCCTCCTCCTGCCTGTTCTTCTTCTCCTTTCTTCTTGCTCCTCCTCTTGGCCACCTCGATAGAGGTGAGGCAATATCTGGCATGCACCAAATCGGTCCGGCCAGTCTTTTGCCTGGCTTTTTTCTCGCCTGTTCCCCTGTCCAAACCTCTGGTCCACTGTCAGCGCATGTGCTCTCTCTCTTTCAACTGGCCTCCCAAGAAGCAGGCGGCTGCCCGCTACGTTGGGCAGCCACGGCATGTCTGCCAACTCATGTCGGTTCAACAGAAAGCCGAGGAAGCCTTGTGGTCCGAAGCTGCAATCGTCACTTGGTACTACTCTCGAATTCCTCGTGATGGGCCCATGGTAGGTCCCCAGACGATGGGCAAAAATGGCATGAGGCTAAACATGTCAAGTTTTTTATCGCTGTCGCCGGCTGGGTCCCATTGCAACCATGGAGCTTTGGCGGCCACTCCCAAAACTGGACCAGATGGATCCGAGTCACCTTGCAAGGCTTGTGGTCCCACAGAGTCCACGATCTGGTGTTCCCCAAAAAAGCCGCTGCTCAGGTACGCACGGAATTTGTATGGCCAAAGGAGCTTGCCAAGATGATTGGAGTTGTGTCCCCCAAAAGGCACAACCGTTGTCGCAAAGATGACCCGACCGTTCCGCTGCGGCTCCAGCGAATCGCCGGCGACAGCCGCCCTCCCAGGCAGGGAGCTAATGCAAGGCACAGCGAGGTGATGGCGAGCTTGAGTGGAAGCGAGAACCGAGAAAAACCTGCGGGTGCCGAATTTGTCGGCGACCACATGGCGGCATGTCAATCGCCCTTTTCTAGATGCTCTCCAAGAGGTGTGTGTAAGTGCCGGGTCCAATTTCTTGTTTGCATGCAGTGGCTGGAGAGAAGGCTTATGGGTGCGGTCAAAGAGAGTTGTCTCGTCACAATGATTTCCTCACAGGTCATCAAGTCTGTCCAATTCTAATCTGGGACGAGGGAGGAAACGTGGCCCGGTAACATTCGAGAGGAAGCAATATTCTTTGCTTCCTCTCACAGCCTGACTGTCTTTGGGCGCAAACACCCGATATACGGACATCTCTAGACGACTTCACGGCTTTTCCACATCAAAAGAACGATTCGGTACCGGTGCGGCCAACAAGCGGCCGGCTGAGCGGGACGTGTATCCCCCAACCAGAATCTGCTTGCCCCTCCTTGTTCGGCTGCTCTTTTCTTCTTCTCCAACAGTTCGAGGTTGAGCAGGTGCCTGATATGAGATATGTACGTGGCAGTGGATATCCTGCATCCTTTTCACTTTGCGTTGATTGTGGCGTGTAACTGTCCCTGCAGGCTGAGAGCCCAATAGGGTGGGCACATTTCTCGCGAGGTTGCACTGGATGCCGAGCTCTAGAATTAGGGCTTTGTTTGTCTTGTACCATTTCTCAACCGGACAAGGAGAACGCCCATTCTTCGCTACCCGCGGGTGAAGACTTGTCCCGGTTGACAAGGCTGCCGTGGGCCTCGGCCGCGTTCTTCCCCTCATGGCGAAAAAATGACATGCGTCTCTGGGCTATATCGAGCCGTTGAATATTGGAGCTCTCAATACATCTATTCTTCTCCCCTGATCCTGGTTGGCGGGCCGCGGGTTCGGAGGTTTTCTGTTTGGTTCCTGAATGTGAATACTGTCTGGGCTATGGAGACCGGGGAGAAAAGAAGAAAACCCATGTCAATTTTCTTCTTGAGCCAGCCGTTTGTTCAGGACTTGATGCCCTAAGAAAGGAGGGATAGATGACTCGGGGGTTTTCAAAGGCGAAGGTGTGCACTAGAAATGCAAACCTGCCCTGCCTAAGGTTTCTAGTTGCAGATAGCGGCATATGCTATGGGCAAATGATGGGGGTCTCCGAAGTCAAGAGCAAATTTTGAAAGGGTGGCGATGGTGGTTGCCCTGAAACCGTGTGTTTACATTTGTGTCGTCCTCCTGACACTAACTCCCTAAATGAACGCCACGCTCTCCAAACTTCTCTCAGGGCTTCAAGATGGGCCAGCAGCCGTCAAAAAGCCAAAATCAGCCCCTTGTTCTGCCTGGTTAACCTCCCGTTTGTACAACCCCCTATAACCCCTTTCCCTCTCCCTGGCAACCCAAGCACTCCCACTGCCCTCACTTGCCATCATCTTCTTCCGCTGCGCCATCCTGTCCCTGACCCCGTCCTCATCAATCTCCACATGTAAATATCTCCTCTCTGCATCAAAGGTGATCACATCCCCGTCTTGGACAATCCCCAAGACAGACTCCGGATCCGCGCTCTCGGGGGAAATATGCAATATGATTGTACCCCCGGCCGTGCCGCTCATGCGCCCGTCCGAGATGCGGAGCATATCCGACACCCCCTTCGCAGCTAGCTTCCTCGGGATGGGGATCAATCCCGCCTCTGGCATGCCTGGATTCCCTACCGGGCCGATGTTCTGGAGAATCAACACCGAGGAGGGGCTGACGCTGAGGCTGGGGGAGTCGATTCTCTCTGCTAGGTCTTGCGGACCGGAAAACACCACCGCGGGACCGGTGTGGGAGAGGAGGCTGCGGTCTTTGGAGGCAGAAGCTTTGATCACCGCTCCGCCGGCGGAGGCGAGGTTGCCTTTGGAGAGGATGACGAGGGAGCTGGAGGGGTACAAGGGTTTGTTGAAATGGTGGATGATGGAACTGAGTGGTGAGTCTAGGGGTAGTGGGCGGAAGGGTATGGAAGCCAACTCCTCGCCTAGGGTGCGGCCGGTGATGGTCATTGCGTCGAGATGTAGCAAGGGTTTCAGTTCGTGGAGGAGGGCGAGCATCCCGCCGGCGTTGTGAAAGTCAGTCATGTAATTGTCGCCTGATGGTTTGAGGTCAACCAGTAGGGGGGTCTTGAGGCCGATGTCGTCGATGGTTTGTAGCTTGATGGAGCCGGCGAGCTGAGGGTGGCGGTTGACGATTGCCATCAGGTGAACGATGGCGTTGGTGGAGCCACCTATTGCCTGCAGGACTGTGATGGCGTTGAGGAAGGATTCTCTTGTCAGTAAAGCCTGTGGCCGGAGCTGAGATCTTGCGAGGGCTACTGCATGGGTGCCTGTTGCTTCTGCTATTCTGAGGCGCGAAGAGGACACGGCCGGTGCTGTAGCACTTGGCAAAGAAAGCGGCATCAGGCCCAAGGCCAAAAGGATACAGGACATGGTTGATGCTGTACCCATCACCCCACAGGTTCCGCCCTAACATGATGTAAGAGACCGCCGAGCGAAAGCGGGAAACTGGAGACGTACTGTTGGTGCAAGCTCCTCGTTGAGAGCACTTATGTCTTCAATATCTAACGTGCCGGCACGGAACTTGGCCCAGTTATTGCGACAGTCTGTACAAGCCCCTATGCGTGCACCCTGAAAGCTGCCCGGCATCATCGGACCAGTCACCAGATGGATAATCGGCTTGTTGGCTGAGATGGCCCCCATCAACTGAGCTGGAGTGGTCTTGTCACAGCCTGTCGGTTGTGTCAGTTCGTAATTCAGACCATCCATGGAAAGAAAGCATGACAACTGGAAGAGACCCACCACCAATCAGAACAACAGAATCAACCGGCTGGGCCTGAATCATCTCCTCGGTGTCCATACTCATCAAGTTTCGAAGATACATGCTGGTCGGAGAGGCAAAAGACTCGTGGAGACTGATAGTAGGAAAGTCGATAGCCAGGCCACCGCTTAGTTGAACGCCCCTTTTCACGGCGTCCATTAGCTGGGGTATGTTGGCATGGCAGGGGTTGAAGCTTGAGTAGGTGTTGACAATGCCCACAATGGGCCGAGAAAGAGCGTCCTCGCTGTACCCTAAAGCCTTGATGAAGAGTTTGCGCATGAAGAGGGAGAAGTGTGGATCTCCATAAGAGGCGAGCTTTTGCCTAAGACCACTGCCATCGAGACTGAGAGGCCTTGAAAGATCATAGTCCGGGTTGGGAGTCGAAGAATCGCTGCGTGTTCCCATGTTAGGCTGGAGTAAGATGGGTTGTGAATCTAGTGGAAGCTGCCACTCTCCTCTCTGCGATGGTCTTCTCAAAACAAGACTCAGGTGTAGAGCCTGTCCTTGTCCTAAAAATCAGGTATCCGGGTATCTTTAAGGTCTATCTGCGGGGACTGGGAGGCGTCATAATGTCATTGGGCACTACGATTGCATCACGCCATCGAGACGGGATTAAAAAGAAGTAGTCCAGGTCACATCGGTGCCTTCGACAACAGCAAACCCACCATTTCTGATATGGTACTCAGGATGACTTGCTCAGATCACATCTAAGTGACCACGGGAAGGGGTTGCTCTACCAAGACAGTTGTCCGAAAAAGGGTGTGAATAACACCGCTTCCGCTCCTCTATCCTGCTGAGGACCTTGCATCAAAGACAATTCCACCTGCCATTTACATCCAAAGTCAAGGGCGTGTGGCTCAGTTGGTAGAGCGTTCGCTTAGCATACTACAGTGTATGCGAAAGGTCCTGGGTTCGATTCCCAGCTCGTCCAAAGCATGAGATATCCTGTCATGGGAAATCGTTGTCTTTTTTGCGGGATTTTCCTTCCCCTTGACCGGGGTTGTGACATACCAGCATTTGAAAGTTAAAAATAGGGTAGGAAGATCTGGGGATACAGATGATGCAACTCGATATTGAGGTTGGAAGGAATCTCTGAGGATATTCTTAAATATCATTTAAGATCATTAGGTAGCTACAAGAATGTGATATACTGTTATATAGTAGGGTTGATGAGGATTTGGCGGTTGGTATTAAGTGCGGTAGTGACGTTGTTTTAAGTGGGTCCATGTCTCTAGTCTGGCTCTCAAACTTTGCCGTGAAAATTTCCAACGCCGAAATGCCGCAACCCATCTAGCCACAACCTTGCAAACTTGCTCTCAAAACACCAATTCCCTCCCCCAACCTTCAACAAATATAAAGGCTCAGTCGGCTTCAAAGCCCGGCTAGCTCAATCGGTAGAGCGTGAGACTCTTAAGGAGTACTCCGAAATCTCAAGGTTGTGGGTTCGACCCCCACGTCGGGCTCAATTCCCGTCGACGACAGACGCCTTTTTTTTTCTTATTGTACTTTTTGCTCCATCTCTTTTTTTGCTTCTCCTATCTCCTGTCCGTGTTGTGCATTAACATTGCCGTATGTGGTGCTGTGTGCTCCTGTAAAGTAACTGAGATCCCATGGCTCCAAACCCACATGCCATTCGGGACACATGATGCATTTGGGTATGAAGTTGAACCCCTATTCTTCGCGCGCCTTACTTCGAAGTACTTGTACATTCCAACCTTACCAGGTAACCTAGCTGTTTGCAGTGGCATTTCCACTTTAAGATATTTATGCCGATGGGCCACCACCTGCTGGTTATGGTGGTTGTGATGTCTGCATTCGGAAAATAGGGGACCTGTAGCTCCCGCTGTCCGCATCGAGACAGCATCACACATTGGAACAATGGCCGGAGCATATGACGTCCCAAACCATAGCTTTGGGGGGGAAAACAGACAAAGAAACAGCAGTAGCTTATCAACCTGCTCCATCAGCTGTGCACCTCTGTTTCGCCCATCAGTTATAGTCGACAACGGCATTGAATCAAAACACCAACTCCTGAACCCGAAAGAGAGAATCAAGACTTTTCAAAATGGGGGCTGCATCCAAAGTGATCCACATCATCCTCCGGGTGTTTGAGGTGATTTGTTCAGTCATCGTCCTCGGCCTCGTCGCTCGCTTCCTGCATCTGGTCTCCCAGGCAGGAGTCTCGGCCGATTCTCGCATCGTATATGCCATCGTCACGGCTTCCATCAGCACTTTATTTGCGCTTGTCTTTATCGCACCGTTCATCTACGCCTACTTGGCCTTCCCGATGGATGCGATCCTGTTTGTCATGTGGATTGTTGTCTTCGGCTTGTTGACTTCGGTATGATCCCCCTTGTTTATAGTTGCTTCTCCTTTTTGAGCGACATCAGCATTGGCCTTGCAAACAGAGTGGGAGAGAAGTTAACTCGAGTATGATCAGCGCACCGGCTCGGCCATGTGTAACGCTTCCTGGTATTGGAACTACTGGGGATACTACTGGGGCGGGTGGTGGCGTGTGCCGGACCTCACAGTCTGGGATAGGGGCTACGGCGGCTGCGCGTCCTGGAGGGCCGTTCTGGCCTTTTCCTTTTTGGCTGCCATGGCCTACCTCGTCAGCGCCATCTTGGGAGCGGTTGTTGTGCATCGCTACCGCGGCAAGAACTCGCCCGTGTAAGTTTGCTGTGTTCAACTTGCCGCAGCGTGCGGAAGACGAGACAGTGTGGTACTGACTGATCGTATGAGTGTTTAGGACAACAAGAGACATCTCGGCTCCCATTCCACAGTCTCCTGCCACAGGAAGACCCGAGACAGCCCAGGTCCATGATCCAAGGGCTCCTCCATCTGCCCCTGCTCAGCAAACAATGGGCACTGCTGTTGATGTTTAGGGATTCAGGGGTAATAGTTTGGTTTGGTGGAAACTTCTGGACAACCCCATCCAGTATCATTATGGTTGATACTTGGGACGCTTTTGATTAAGGTGGCTAATGAAGAGGGAGATTGACAACTCAGCTACAAAGACAACTGGTGAATGGTTGAGGAAAAAAAAAAAAACTACCCAAAGTTGCAAGACCCTGATAGGAGCTAAAAGAATGGAGCTGCCCAATAACAGGATTGAACTGTTGACCTTCGCATGACTTCTTATAACTGTGAGGTTATATTAGTACGACGCTCTAACCAGCTGAGCTAATCGGGCCCTAGTTGTTGTTAGTGTGGATGGCTGGCAACAACAATATCTGAAGACAGAAAGCTAGGGCTAGGGTTTTGGTTTCCTGCCCTACCTCATTCTGAAGCTTGACGTAACGGAAGTGGACACAAGACAGGAATCAACCCTGCGGACTGCTCGGGCCGGTTGTTGCTCATACCCACTCACAACGGCATGCCCCATCTCCAATGAGATGCGCGAGATCTCGGAACGCTGGTGGAGTAAACAAAATGGGTAAAAGAGCCCGTATAAGCCGGGTGAATAATGCCGGTTTTTATTGCTCGATAGACTTGACAAACTGCTACTACCCACGGTCCGTGGTGTAGATAGTGGCAATACCGTGACCAATGGCCAGAAGCGTCTGAAGAGATGGTGCCAACCAGCACCTCATCCTCCACCAAGCATTGCGTGTTTGGGTGTGCCTGTGAGGAGAAAGGTAGGTGGGGGTCAAGGAAACATGGGACGAGGATGGAAATGGACAGAGAAGCACTTGAGAAAGCTGAGAGCCACTTGGAGATCCCAGTGCATGCATGGCTGGGCTCGCCTTCACATGCACGACGGTAGATGACACCCGCACATGCAAGTTTCACGTCGTGCTCCCCCAGTCTTGGAACATGCGATCTTGGTCTCTTCTGGCCGAGGAGCGGACATTGGCTCCCAGGCGGGCAGGCAAGAGAGGGCCGCTAGAGCAGGGCGGGGGCATGGTTCATTGACACCCAACCCAAAATCACCTCATGGCGTCAACACCATCTTGAATTGGGAGCGCGGGGAAGCTGGTGCCCTCCCCTGTCGCTCCGTGTCCGTTCCCCCTAGCTCGTCTGGTCTTCTCTATGATCGACCATCAGCATTTTACCATTTGGCATTATCAACGCGATAAGAGTGGGGTTGGTTGGGGCAGTTAGTGTTCTGGTCACATCATGGGCGCCGGCCACAGAGCAAACATCCAAACCTACCGTAGATTCAACAATTCCGTAGAAGTCCCGGGGAGTCGTGAGGAGGATGGATGCCGGGCAGGCCGAGGGGATGATTGAGTAGGTAGGTTCACATGGACAGTTGCCTCGTTGGGGAGCAGTCGCAGTTCCAGTTGCCCATTGTTCGTAGTAGCCCAGGTGGTGTCGCAGCGGGAAGAAACGGGTGGAGTGGGGTCGTGTTGGAGGGGTGAAAGGGCGCTGCGGCCCTGCAAAGGAAGGGCCGGCGTGGGATGCAGCGCTGGGCAACAGGCAATGGCGTGGTTTTTTCCCACTCCGGACTTCGGGGTTCCATGGCCAACAGTTGGTGAGGGCTGTTGCTGATTGGCTGCCGCACCCAGATCCGTGGGGAGCCCTTTCTGGAGGCTGCAAATTCGGGAGCTTGTGAAAAAGCCCATTTAACTCTCATGCCCTCCATCCATCTTCCTTTCCATCCTCAAGTCCCCCGATCGTCTTCGCTCACGTCTCCTCGCTCGACCCGTCTATATACTGCCCATTCCAGTATCCAGCATCCAGCATCCAGCAACCACCCCGACAAACCACCCACAGCGAGGAGCACTCACTGAGCGGAACGAACGGAGCTTCCCCGACTATACTACTACAACCGACCAACCCATATCAAAATGTTTGCCACCAGAGTTCTTCGCCAGGCTGCTCAGCACGCCGAGCGTACTCCCTCCATCAAGTTCCTCGGCAAGCGGACTATCCCAGGTGAGTCCGGGTCCATGACGACGACGATGGAATTGAGCCATTTGAACGCTTCGCATGCTAACCTCGTATTCTTGGCACAGTCTCCATTGACCACACTCCCCGCCCCCACCCCGCTTCTCCAACCAACTCCCTTCCGGCTTCCTTCACCAACGGTTCCGCCCACACCTCGTTCAGCGCCTACCGTGACCACGCCCAGCAGTTTGGTCCCCTCCGCAAGACCATCCGCGCCGACGCCGGTATTGGCGGCAATGCCGGTGCTGCTCTTGGCTCGGTTGCTCCCCCCTCCGGTGTCTACTTCGACCGCAATGATCTTCCGGCCCGCTTCCACCGTGTCCCCCTGACCGCTGACGAGATTGAGGCCATTGAGACCGGCGGTGCCGCGGCCTGGGCCTGAGCATCATCTCTGCCGACTCTTAATCACATGTAGGCACACTCCCCTAGAGTGGATGTGCTTCAACTTTACCTCTTCCCGCACCATCACACACCACTTCCCCACGAGTTTCGAAGGGAACCTTTTTTCACTTTTTTCAACTAGATGTCATGATACCCGGATAAGGTATGACATACGCCAGAGAGGCGAATAAAAAACCATGGACGCCGCGGAAAAGCATAGGCATGGGCGGTGGGTTTACAGGACATCGAAACACTGGGATCAGCATGGCACGCCCGCATAACGCTCTTTCGTGGAAGAGAGGGCGGCGGCGGCCTTTCTTTTGTTTATAGGCGCATTGCACTTTTTTGGTGCAGGGCACGAAAGTGCCTCGATGTATGTGGTGGACTGGAGATTGGGGATGGGAAGTGGCAAGATGGATCGATCAGAATCCCCGCTGGAGTAGTATCCAAAGGTGTTTTTGGTTCGATGATATGGGACCTCAACAGGCAAAACAGCTGGCTCAGGCTTCACCCTGACAGATCATGTTCAGCATTTGATAGGCAAAAAGAAATGAAAAACATTTCAAACTCCCACTCCACCGTTCTTGAAACTTGAAGCAGGGAATGGGGCTCCGGCCGAGCCGATGTCAAAGTAGGATATCGCGATATGTAACATGAAAACTCCAATACACATGGAAAACCAGAAAATGCTTCAATAAAAGCAGAATGTTTGTTTCACTGTAGCATCGTCTGAGGTCGGTGTTAGAAACTGGGACCTGCCAGCTGGCCAACCAGAGGCCGATCCGGCACCACGGGTCGCGACAGCTGCTGAATTAAAAATATCCACCCAACAGGGGCGGGCGGGTCAAAGTTCCATGATGCATCTTGTGATCTCTTTTGCGACTCACTGTTCAACCTCAAGTCCAAGCTCCATGCTTGACCCCTCCTGACGTCGCAGCTCCGTCGTGCTGACTTCAACCCTTTGCGACCATACATAAATAAGACCGTCGCACACGAAGCCTCGCGATACTCCCCGAGTCTCCACCTGACCCTCAAAGAAACGATTCCCGGAATTATGCGCACAGAATGCACCACGAGTTTGTCGATACAGTTTTAGTTGGTAAAGACGTGGTAAAGGCAGGACAGGACGACCCGAGTGGAGGGACACCATCATCAAACACACCAAACACCGCCAGGATGAGAGAAGCCGGAGCTCGCGGCGCAAACGCTGGCGCCGAGGAGAAGTGCCCAGTCGACCATAAAACCCGCGAGCTGTGGATGCAGCAGGCGAGGGCAAAGGAGGAAGCAGCACAGAATGCCAGCAACAAGTCAAGACCACCAGTACCAGAACGCTCCACACAACCGCAACAACCACAGCAGTCTTCCTCGTGGACATCATGGCTGCGCCTCCCCTCCTTCTCTTCCCCCACCTCGACAGAATCCGCCTCCACAACCCCGCCAAAGCCCCGCGCCTCTGTCCTCGACGAGGTCCGTGAAGTTTCCTCTATCCCCCGGTCCAGAGACACAGGTCCATCCGCCTGTCCCCAGAATAGCGAGCAGGAAACCGGCACGTCTGAGTCGGGCCATTGGATCTACCCATCGGAAAAGCAGTTTTTCGAGGCCATGAGGAGGAAAGGCTTCACCTCGGCCCAGGCGAAGGACATGAAAACTGTTGTGCCCATCCACAACGCCGTCAACGAGCGCGCCTGGGCTGAGATTCTGAAGTGGGAGGCCCACTACGACTCGAAGTCCTGCGGCGGTCCAAGGTTGTACTCGTTTGCGGGAGAAAAGGGGAAAATGACGCCCAAGGCGAGGATCAACACTCTGCTGGGGTATACAGCGCCGTTTGACAGGCACGATTGGATCGTGGACAGGTGCGGAACAAAGGTGGAATACGTGATTGACTTTTACTCGGGGCGGGATACGTCAGGTGGAGGGAAGCTGAACTTTTACCTGGATGTCAGGCCGAAGCTCAACACCTGGGAGGGTGTCAAGATGAGGGCGCTAAGGGCTACTGGGCTGGCTTAAAGCCCACCTAGAGAGATGAAGAGAATGACAAAAATCCCTGCTCGCTTCTGGTCTCTGTAAAAGCTGTGTATAGTATACGTTTAAGAAGGAACAGAGTATCATGAGGGTGGCGTTTGGGTCAAAAAAGCAAGATGAAATTAATCGTTAGGTGCAGTTTGAGGCTGCGTGGTATCTCTAATGGTGTACAACTGTCTTATCTATTTCCAGTCCTGTATTCCAGTCGGCATTTTTCTGCAGATAATCACTCTGTCCAAGATGAGCTCAATCATGTTTTGACTCTTGATGCCCGGGGTGCCGCAAAAGCCCCTCCTTTTCCGGTGTGCCTGGAGGGGTATGTCAGTCAACAAATCATGAGCGGTCCCGAGTCCAAGATGTAAACTGACCTTTCTTATCCCCAACTCGTACCCTTACTGGTAACCTCGTCTCCAGCGCGTTTGCTTCCAAATCCCACCCAGCGGCCCCGAGAGCTGCAAATATTGACTCCTTCTGCTCCTCATCCACGTATCCCAAAGGCTTCTCGCTCTTGTAATGGCTCTCCAGTCCATCCTTGAAGGCGGATCCAAAGTGATAAGCGTGGTTGACGGCATCGAACCAAGCCGCCAGCGGACTCTTGACAGTTTCCTTTAGGGCAATTTTCATGTAGAAGTACCCGCCGCGATGCCATATTCCCATAAAATACGTCTTGGTCTCCAGATCATACCTGTGATACCCCCTCGGGTTCCACCCCTTAAGTTCTCCGTATGTCGCAAAGTCACAAAACCCGGTGTAGTCCCCCGTCTTGCTGCTCAGCTCCCCCCTCCCGTTCATCAAAATGCTCTCCCTCTGCGACACCTGCGCCGGGTTCAACACGGTCCCGCTCTCCAACCACTCCCTAAACACAATCGTCGCCCTCTGCCTGTTCAGGCTCGTCATCCTCACCGCCCTGACAGCCCGGTAATTCATGGCCAAATGGCAACCCGCAAGGATGATCATCAGCCCCCAGACCTTGTGCTTATCCTCCACCAACCTCACCACCAGACTCCCCACTAGCATGCCCAACAGCGACACCACAGTTTCCTGGGACGCCTCCTTGGCGTTGAGCTCGGCCAGGTTCCCCGTGACAGCAAAGTGCGCCGAAAGACTAGCCTTGCTCGCATTCGCCGCCACACCACAGAGACTCCTCAGCACCCCCGCCGAGACAATCACCCCCAGCTTCGGCAGGTACGGCAGGGCCGGAGTCAACAGATCCAAAAACTGAGCCGCATCGTTAAAGATGTCGGCCAGGAACCGGTAGAATTTACATTCCGGCTCTATCGCCTGGCCCATGCGGTGGGCAAACAATATCGTCGCTATCCTCGAAATGGTATCGCCCGTGATCTTGAGAATGAGCGCGCCCGTTGGGGAGGCTTCGCTGCTCCCTACCCCCAACCCTTCCAACACGGCGCGGGAGGCCAGCAACGACGTGATGGACGAGGCAAACGCCTGGAGGGAGTCGTAAGTCTGGTAAGGTAGATAGTCGGTTGTGACGGTGTGGGGATATCCGGCTGGTAAGAAGGCGTAGAGGAGGGCTTTGGCGGTTGGGACGACGGTTTTAGTCTGATAATACCAACAAGGGGGGAAATTAGTCGAAATCGGGCGGGAAGGGCGCAAAGGGGACTGAACGTAGGAGGGGGAAACCGACGGCTAAGAAGGGCTCTTTTTGGCCGTCGCCTGTATAAGTGCAGAGCACGTCGCCTGCTGGGTCGATGTCGTAGCATGTTTTACCGGAGCTCATCGCGACCTTCCCCCCGTTGAGGTGCGTGGGTGGCTTTGGTGGTCACGGGTGGCTTAGGTGGATGGGTACGGTAACTTTGGCTCGTTCAACGCTGGTGCATCAGGTGTGGTATGGATGTCGCGGTAGCTCTTGTGCTCATTCGACGTTTTGCGTCTCGTGTTCGAACCTGCTCTGCAATCATCAAAACGTCCATCCACCCCAGGTCCAAGATGAGGCACAGGTACCAGCAGCACAGGAACAGGCTTGGCGCGCGCCGAGCGCAGTGAACGATTGCGGTTGGGGCGCTTCTGACGTAACGCGGGCCAGGGTTATGAGCTTATCGTTTCCCACCAGCAGCTTATCGGACCCTGACCCTTCTCAACAGCCCCTTGCTGACAGAGCACAGCATTGCAATTGACTGCAGACATGTGCTCCCCAAGTTTGATGATCAAGAATAGAAAATCCGGCCCCTTTCTGGGAACCCGAGCATCTAGATGTATTACAGGCGCTAATGGCATCGTGGTATATCCAGCTAACAACATCAAACACAAAATCTAACCCAACATCTGACGAAATCACCTTTTCGCCGGAGTTCCGTCCTCAGCAACAAGAAACTCGTCTGTCTTGACCGGCCCCTCGCCGACACCCGTCATGATAACCCGGCTAACACCGGCCTTCAACAGGCCAGCAACATTCTCATCAAGCGAGATGGTGGGCTTGAGACCCTTGATGTCCGCACTCTTCCACCCGCCGATATCCGCACCCTGGAGAACATGGTAGAATGTGCCCACAACAGCTTCCGTGTCCTTCTCCTGGTAGTAGATGACAGCGTTCGGGCCGGCGTCGAAGGTGTACGCCGCCACAGTCCTGCCAGCCTTCTCGTTGATGGCCTCCACAGCCCGGATGGCGGCTCTTGAAACATCGTTCATGTAGAAGATGGGCGGATAGGTGTCAGCGCAGGTAGCATGGAACGAGTTGCTATCCCTCATGGTGACCTCGGCGAACTTCTCAAAGTCCTTTTCGGCGATCGCCTTCTCCATGATGGCCATGTTCTCGGGCACAACGGTGGCGATGCGCTCGCGGAAGAGGCCAGAGGTAGCAACTGTCTGCTGCATACCAGAGCTAGAGCTGACGCCCTTCTTGGCAGCAGAGACAACCAAAACCAAGGCGCGCATGTCGGGCCAGTGCGAGGCCTCGGCAACTTGATCGGCCATCGAGTCTGTGCCATCAGCCTTGTCGCCCATTCTCCAGGCAACATAACCACCAAAGAGACTGCGGCAAGCAGAGCCAGAGCCTTGGCGGGCGATCAAGCTCAACTCGGAGGGGGAGGCTGGGAGCTCGTAGAGGTTGGCGATGGCGCGGACAAGGGCAGCGAAGCCAGCGGCCGAGGAGGCCAGACCGGCGGCGGTGGGGAAGTTGTTCTCGGAGACGAGGCGGAGGGGGTAGGTGGAAAGCTTAGGGAGGGAGGGATCGGCAGCTTCGAGGGCGGCGCGGCGAGAGCGCAGTTCACGGAGGCATGCTTGGGTTCGGGCACCCGAAATATCGGATGGCTCGCCGTTGAGAAGGAGGGCGTCGCCTTCGCTGGCAGGAAACGAGGCAGAGCATGAGGCCGTCGTCAGGGTACGGAGGTCGGCTTGAGAGAGGGTGACGCTCAGAGAGCTGTTTGTGGGGAGGTTGAGTTTGGCATCACGCTTGCCCCAGTACCTGGTGTTGGGCTGGAGTGTTAGTGTTGCTGCTGTTAGACAAAGGGGGAGGGACTGGTATGGTGAGGACCGACTTGACGACGGCAATGTTGACGGGCGCCGTGGTGCTCGCGCGGTAGACTTTGTCAGACATGTTGGCTTGGCTATTATTGAGGCAAGGCTGGCAGGAGAAGAGGGAGAGAAAAGAGAAGCTGAAATTACGTGGAGCGGTCAACAAGGGGCTTTTCTCCTTTCAGATCATCACATTTGGCGGGGTAACAACCACTGGGGTCCCTTGGGAGTCCAGAGCCCAAGTGGGCCACCACCAAAAAAAGCCAATGCATTGCGGGGCACAACGCAGGGTTTCCGTTCCGCTGTCACAACCTAAGCACAGACCATACTGCTTGTGATAAGGGTAAGGTAGGTATTTAAAGGCCTCCGTACGTGGCCCCATATGTGTACTGGGGAGCCGACTAGGCTCCAAATGGCCGTGATGGCGTTCTGTTGACCTTCCATCTATGCTGACTGAGGTGTGGAGGTTGTAGCAGGTCAGCACTTTGCTTTTGAATGCTCGTTCATGAATGCGGTTTGATGAGGCGCTTTGACGACGTGGGAAAAAAAAATGAGAGAGGTGAACGGGGAAGGTGAAAGACCTTCATATATGAGATTTTTGACAACTTGCAGCTCCCTGCAAGAGACTCCATCTATGCTTTTCGAGCTTCTATATTTTGTTCCGGAGTCCAAGGTAAATGCTGAACTCGAGTTTGGCCCTGGTGGAAATCGAGACCTCAGGTGCTCCTTGACTCTGTCATTATCTCAAACAAGAGGCACTCTTCAAAAGGCTTAAACATGCCGTTCTTTGCCCAACTCCTTATCTCACGACACAGAATTCGATACTTTGAGCATGGAAAATGTCAACACAAGTCCTGTTTTCGGATTGTCTTGGCATTGTCATTGCCCCTGAACCCCTTCACAACAGCATCAGAGACAAGCTTCGATCAAGATTTTCAAGAATCTTATCAAGAGGCAACCACTATTCTTTCATTCCTGGGCACCTTTCCCAGCAAATAGTCCCGTAGTAGAACTTCAAGATATACTCCGCCATATACTCCCTACAATTCTGCCCCAGCGGAGGCAAAGTAGACACATACCAACTATCACACTGCATAGAGCGGCCTCAAACTAGAATGTGTATTTCGAATATGGGCACCAAAAAACAATGGCCCGATTAGCTCAGCTGGTTAGAGCGTCGTACTAATATTGCCGCAAGGTTAATATCAAGTCATGCGAAGGTCAACAGTTCAATCCTGTTATTGGGCACTCTAATTTCCATTTTGGCTCCTTTTCGGCTCCACATTCTTGCCTTCTTTAACGTCCACGATTCTTTTTTGTATTATGTCCCATCTTTCTTCTTTTGAGATATTACAGTACTCCAACTATGCATCCGATGACTTACAGTCAGTCTGCTTGATGCCTCAGTTCTAAAGCTCATCATGCCCCTGCTGGTGTAGCTCCTCTCCTCTCCAAGGCTTCACCTTCCCTTGGATAATGTCCACCAGAAATGCCTCCACTACAGCCGCCGAAATGGCCTCCTTTCTAGCATAAGGAAAGACGTCTCCGTTGTTGGGATTCTGCACCGACAAACCTGTCCCACCCTCTTTCAGGCCCATCAATTTGGCTGCGTCGGCGTACTCTTTTGCGTCAATGGTAACAAAGTGAAGATACTCGTCGTATTTCTTGGCCAATGGTCGAATATCGGAGACAAATGCGTCCTTTTTCTGCTGAGAATGGGCGAAGAAGTAAACGATACTTTTCCCTGACTGTTTGACACGTAAGCAGTGATGAGTCAGCTAATCGAACTCATTCGGATTACCTATGGCAACAGCCAGTAACTCACCTGAAAGAAGTCCATTTCGTTTCTTCGGGTCATTTCAGGGATCAGTGGTGTCGAGCAACTGAAGATGAAGTCTTGGAGCGCCCCAGGGCTGGCCACGTCGTTGCTGGTGGCCGACAGACTTGTTTCGTCGACATTGTTGAAACACTCAACAAGTACCTTCGGGAGAGTGTAGTCGGCAATGGCAAAGGAAAATCGATCATGATACTGTTTTGCCAGCTTCGTGAAATCCTCCTTGATTTGTTTCTCACTAGGCCCAAAGTGCCCAATGAATGTGATATCGTCAGATGTCTGAAATGATGGCATGGACTGGTCGTTCACATAAGAGACGACGGGGCGACTCTGTCTCTGTACAAATGACTTGATAGGCTGAGTTTTTCGCGGACCACGATAGGAAGTGTAAGAGCCATCTTGTTTGTAGAGTCGGATCGTCGGACATGATCGGACATTGTACTTTTGGCACAGCTTTGCGTCTTGCGAGCAGTCTATACTAACATAGACATCTTCTTGGTTTTGTTTCTGGAGGGCGGCCCATTCAGGTTCCAAGGCTTGAGTGTGTTCCCTAGAAAAATGGCAGGTATCAATACCAGCAGATGGGTTGATTTCGTTGATTTCTGCTTTTCCTTACTCATCTGGGAGGACAACTAGACATATGTCAGAACGCATGGCGATGAAAAAGCATCGTTGAGCAACTTACATGCAACAAGTGTCCGGTCGCGAGCTCCGAGTGTTGTCTCTAGTTCCTTGCCTTCGAGATGCTCCCATGCCAAGACGCGCTGCAACAACACCGCAAGAGTGTACAACGTCCAAATTGACTCTCTCATGATGGATCATGGACTAATTCTTTTTTCTCATTTTTGAGATAACCGGGCCTGTGTTTAAAAACAAAGGAAATTGGGATACGGGATCAAAGCTTCATTTGAGTTGGAGGGCCGACAAGGAGTGCTCTCCACAGGGGTGCATGATATGGGGCACAGATCGACCGCCTGTGACAGAAGAAAGCTTTGCGCAGCATCATTCTGCTGCAAACGCAACACCCGTGTGTTTCATCATGTCAAAACGTCTGCTTGTCATGGGCCCATCTCCGGCACAGCTGTTTTTTAGGGGTAGACCCTTTTAAGAGACGTCATTCCCATTTTCATCTGAAAATATCTATTTTCAAGGCTGGATTGAACACCAACCAGACACCTAGTCCCATCATGGCTCTGCTCAAGTCGCTCCTACTTACAGCGCTCAGCGCATCTACTCTCATCGCCGCGAGTACATCAAACACTGAAGATGACAGCCACAGGCCCATTGATCTCAACAACTATGTCTGCGAACACCCGCCATACAAAGTGCTCATGGTTTCAAAGTCGCCATTGGTCATCTACATAAAAGACTTGATCACTCCGCCAGAACGTGCTCACCTGTTGAATCTGACGTAAGCGTGTTTACATGTGGCCTATTTGAAGAAAAAAACAGCATAGGCTCACCACACCACAGTGAAAAAACCTTCACCCGTTCCGGTGTGACGAGGGGCAACTCCAAAAGCCATCTCTCCGTCCGGACATCACAAAGCACCACTGCACCCCGCGATGCGGTAGTGAGATGCATTGAATCCCGAGCCCTCGCCTTCCAGGGCTACGACACACCCGAGACACACCTGGAACCCCTCCAGCTGGTCAAATACGGCCCATCAGAACGCTACCACTTTCACACCGACTGGTTCACATCCTCTTCCCATACCCAAGGTCTCGGAGGAAACAGGGTCAGCTCTTTCTTCGCCTATGTTCATGTCGCCAACGATACCATGGGTGGCGGGACCAACTTCCCAAGGTTAGACGCCCCTGCGAACGACAAGTGGTGCCAGGAGGGGATCGTAGACTGCGATGAGGAGTGGGAGAACGGGGTGACGTTCCGGCCTGTTGAGGGCAATGCCATTTACTGGGAGAATCTGCTGCCGGATGGGCGGGGTGATGAGAGGACTCTCCATGCTGGGCTGCCTGTGCTTTCGGGAGGAAAGGTGGGAATGAATATTTGGACGAGACAAGAACCTTTACCTGAGGGAATAAAGGGTGATGATTTGTGATAGTACTTTGGCATAGAATCATGAAGAAGACGGCATTAACCCGGGTACAGCTACCACCTTTCGTGGCCCGCAGCATCGGCGTTAAATCCCGCCCACAAAATTCGCGGCCGCCAAACTCCGGCGACAGTGGCCAAAATAATCCAATATATGGGGCTATGAGGATGCACTATTTTGTAAGCAAAATTGTTCTAAACTCCGGGTCGAGCCCATGTATGATGCAATGAACCTATAACGGGAAGGACTTCATTGGAAGCCCAGTATGGATTTGGTCTAGCTCATAACCTCGACTTCGGTGGCTGTGGATGGGTGTTGGAGGTATATAAGGACCAGAAGATCTGCAATCAACACCTACCTTTTTCTGCACCACAGTCTTCAAAACCCTCAATCACCAATCTTAGGCATACAAGCACTTCCTGAAACACCATGTCTTCAGTTACCATTCCTACTCGCAAACTGGGCCGCAACGGCCCTGAGATTCCAGCCATCGGACTCGGCTTGATGGGCCTGAGCATCGCCTATGGCAACCCAGGGTGAGATCCTAAATACCTTACGCACCCCCTTATCACCTCCTTGACTCTGACTTGACAACCTCATCACTGAAGAGACGAATCATCTCGCCTTGCCTTCCTCGACCATGCTTGGTCCATCGGCTGTACAAACTGGGACACGGCCGACGTGTACGGAGACTGCGAAGAACTCCTCGGCAAGTGGTTTTCCCTCCACCCCGAGCGCCGCGAGGACATTTTCCTCGCCTCCAAGTTCGCCCTCGGCGGCCGGACCAATGAGAAAGGGGAGTTCAAGTTTGTGATTGATTCCACCCCCGAGTACGCCCGACAGTCCATCGAGAAGAGCCTGAAGAGGCTCGGCGTGGAGTACCTTGACTTGTATTACATTCACCGCACGGATGGGAAGACGCCCATCGAGAAGACAGCGCAGGCGTTGAAGGAGTTGAAGGAGTAAGCCATCCGCTTTCCACCCACGCCCGACATCTCCGAAGCAAGTACTGATAAAGGGAAATAGACAAGGAAAGATCAGGGCAATCGGGATATCAGAATGCTCGTCCAACACCCTCCGCCGGGCTTCCAAGATTGTTCAGATCGACGCTGTTCAGGTGGAATACAACCCCTGGCAGCTTGATATTGAGAACGAGACCGGGACTCATCTGCTGGACACGTGTCGTGAGCTGGGTGTGACGGTCTTTGCTTACTCGCCGCTGGGCAGGGGTTTCCTCACGGGCCAGATCAAGTCTGTCGATGATTTCGCCGCGGATGATTTCCGCCGGCTGGTTCCGAGGTTCAGCCCCGAGAACTTTCCCAAGAACCTTGAGGTCGTCGAGAAACTGGGCGAGATTGCAAAGAGGAAGGGTAGGTTCCCCGTTCTCATTTGATTCGCCCTATAGAGAAGGACGGCTGACCGCGGAGATAGGCTGTACTACTGGCCAACTGGCACTGGCGTGGCTCATGGCGCAGGGGTCCGACATCATCCCTATCCCGGGGACCAAAAAGGTCAAGTATCTGGAAGAAAACGTGGCGTCCTGTAATGTGACGCTCTCGGACGAGGACGTCAAGAAGATCAGGGCCACCATCGACAACGCCGACGTCAGCGGGGACCGTATTTCTCCGGGCTTTTTTGATGGACTTGCAGCCGATGAGCAGCTCTATCAGGACACCCCTGAGCTATAAGTCAGGAGCTTGGTCCTTTCTTGGAAGTTAACATCTCACCTCAGTGTTACCTTAGTCGAACGCGTAGTCATTGTCAGTTTTATCAATTCGATTTCAACTCGCAATTATCGCCTCGCTATTCAAATACAGTTGAACATATGAGCCACTACTGCCCGCGTCGAGTTACACGCACCCAAAAATCGTCAAACATCCATACGCCCTGTCAAATTTTGTCAGCTCTCAGGGAAGCGATCTAGTTATTTGGTGGCAGGGAAAACATACGGCGTTGTTAACTCTGGCAGCATTGAAGGGATTGATGACGGACCACTCATATCGTCTCAGCAACTGTTGAGTTGACGTTAGCATCGGGCCATCTTGGATGGGCCAACCTTTGAGAAAGCACGTACCTCGACAAAAATCTTGTTGAACTCCATCAGCGCCACAGTCTTGCCAGGACACTGCCATTTTCCATAATGAAAGACCAAATCTGCGGTAGCCTTCATTTTTTCCAACTGATCCTCATCCGCTTCCAACCACCTTTCCGGCCTAAATGTTTCGGCATCCTCGCCAAATGTATTCTTGCTGTGGTGAATGGCAAGCGGGGAAGACCCTATTTGGGTTCCGCCAGGGATAAACTTGCCGCAGATGACATCGCCACCAGGAGGGACCTGCTTGAAAAAGGCACCACCAGCAGGAGGGAGAATACGGATGGCCTCTCTGATGACCGCCTGGAGGTAAGGAAGCTGCCGCGCTTCGGCATCTTTGATGGGAGAGGAAATGATCCCCTGGGCAACGGCCTCGTCGATTTCTTGCTGGAGCTTCTGGTAAACCGGTGGATGGGTACAAATGTTGAGCATGAAAGCGCGGATGGTGGAGGCAGAGGTGTCGGACCCGGCCACAATCTGCAAGACGGCCTCGCCCTGGGCCTCTTCGAGGTTCAAACCGTGCCGAATAAAAGAACCAAGCATGTCTTGCTGAGGGGCGGCATTCGGGGCGAAGCGAGCAGCCACGGCATGGTTGGTCACACCGATAAAGGCACCAAAGCCAATCTTGTCGGTCTCTTTGGGCAACAGCCATCGAAGAAAGCGAGACTGGATAATGTTGGCCAGTGTAGGAATACTTCCGAGGGTCAACATGGCCGGGATAGATGCCGTGGTGATCTTGATGTAATCGTAAACATCCTCATCCTTTTCGAGATAGCCCAGGGGCTCGCCAAAGGCCAGGTCGCTGATGACATCGAGAGTAAAATACTGGGCCTTTTCACCAAAGTCCATGGGGCGATAGTCTTTGGGGGTGGAGATGTACTTTCTCTCAATGAGGTCGATCAGACGAGCAATCTCAGTCTCGATGGTACTTTCCATGGACAGATTTTCCTTGCCCGAGTACTACCCAACCGCACCGTCAGCATCGGATCGTAGGGGATCTCACGGGCAACACCAGACGGGACATACACCGGCAACCATCTTGTTGCGCAAGGCCGTATGGCCGACCTCATCGCGCATAGAAAACAGATTGTCTCTCGTGGGATTCAAGCGCCAAGCTTCGTACCCTGGCGTGCATCACAAAAAGCAAATGGGTCAGTTCGTTTCTGTCTGAGCCGCGGGAGAAGAAGAGCTGGGTGAAGTCTTACACGGTCCTCTGGTGTAAGGCGACCTGACGGCCATCATCTTGCGCAACACATCGGGGTCACTGGTGACGAGGTCATTGGGCCCGATACGCACGAGCGGGCCTGTAGGTGATGGTGAGGATGATCAGCAAGTGCTTCCAGGTTGTGGTTGGTAAGGTGGTGAGACGGTTGCAACGCACCGTGTTTGTCGTTGAGCTCTTTGAGCACCTGAGGGAGCGTCCCCTTGATAGACTCGCGGACTTGCCAGTACTTGGAGATGGCGGCCAGCTTGGGCCCGGGAACATGTGAGAGACGGTACCACTGGATGATGGTGGGTAGGACGAACAGCGCCACCACAGCGACAAAGACAGTCGCGGCAGTTGCTCCAGTGGCCTCGAGAGCGCGTGCTATTAGCGCTGCTGCGGGGTGGTCGGTGAGAGCCATAGGTACTGCTGGGTAGGTGGGCTGGGCCGTCTGTTTCCAGCTCTGTTGAACGAAATGCGTTGAGGAGTACAAGGACCAGGTGGTTGGCGGGCAGGGCAGGGCAGGGCAGGGCAGGGCAAGGCAGGCCGAGTTATTAATTTTACCCGGGGAACGGGATTTGGGAATGGGAGCAGGTAAGGTAGGTATGAAGGTAGGTAGAGTAATTAATAAGATGGATGGAATGAGGGAATGGGTGAATGAATGCAGATGCACATCAGCAATACTTACCCTCAGTCCACCACCAACAACACCTCCTACCTAATCACCAACACACACCTCCCCCTCCCCCTCTATCTCTCCCTCTTCCATGGAATGTGCGTCTCCATCTGGGCCCCATCCTCACCGCTGGGCACGGAGCACAGACAGGGCCCGGGGATGCTGTTGGCGGCTCTTGTCCCCATTCGGACATTGGGACGGGCAGACTGCACCGGGCAGTTGGTTCATGACCTTTGTGTATCTCCACCCGACAGCGAGACACACGCCTGCAGCACGCTACCAGTGGGTACCAGTCGCTAAACCCCCCCGCTATTGATCAATCCTGACCCTCGGGTCCTTCCCTCCCCACTGTTCCCTTCCCGCTTCAAGACAAGCGTCGCCCGTCCGAGCAGCCCGTCCTGGAGGCGAAAAAGTGTCTCGGGACACACGCCTGGCCATCAAACACGCCTGGCTTTTTTTCCCGCTGCCGGAGCTGCTCTTCTCTGTGATCTTCCCGACTTCAAGCTCCAGCTTTCCCACCATCTCCATCGTATTTCTGCGTGTTGCGTGCCTGGTGGGGACACCCTTGTACAACTTCAACAGTAAAATGGCCAACGATGCGGAGAACAACAAGCTAACAGCAACGGCCCCCGACACAAACCCCGCCACACCTGCCGACGCCGCCCCGACCAGTCCCGCAAAAGAGCCATCATCGGCTTCGAGCCCAACGGCAACCACCTTCCCACCGGCTCGGGACGATGCGCCCGTGAGCACCGCCGCCGCCGCCGCCGTTGTCACCATTGCCGAGGCAGAGGAGCTCCAACCAGATGTAATCCCATCAGGCGCTCGGGGGGGGGGGGTTACGGGATGCTGACGCAACCAACTGCACAGGACTCAGATGAGGTTGACTCCGTTTTTGATGACGGAGATTCCGCCATTGCCAGTCTTCACTCATCCACCACTTCTCTTCGCGACGAATTGATCCTGCAGGTTAAGGAACATGGCAGGCAATACCAGGGTTACCTGGAAGCGAGTGAGTGTGACGTGCATCCGAACCGTCTTGATCGTTCAGCTAACCAAATTCAGAATATGTCCTTCCAATGGACGAGGTAGGATTTCGCCGTCACCAACCAACATGTCTCAAACAAGCAAACACCATAGCTGACTGTGATCTCACACATCTAGCAAGAGCTAGAACGATTGGGTATGAACATCATCAGGCCGCAAACCAGGCACTGTTGGCTAACCCAGCTGCGACAGACTTCCAATGTCACTTGGTCTGGCTCACCCTGGACAAGCAGCACAGCACTGCCCCTATTCAAAACATTCAACGGGCCCTGGATGTGGGATGTGGCACAGGCATCTGGGCGATAGAGTTCGGTGCGTTTCTTCATGTTGCGTTACGGAGCACACCAGTGTACTGAGTGTACTGACACCATGTTTAGCTGATGAGCATCCCGAAGCAGAGGTGCTCGGCGTTGACCTTGCTCCGGTGCAGCCTCAGTGCGTCCCCCCAAACCTCATCTTTGAAGTCGACGACCTCGAGCAACCGTGGAACTTCACCCAGCGCTTCGACTACATCCACTGCCAGCTCATGATCGGCGCCTTCCAGGACTGGCCCAAATTCTTCCGCCAGTCTCGCGAGTTCCTTGCCGGCCCCAACAGCTACACCGAGGTTCACGACATCGACTTCTTCATCCGCTGTGACGACGGCACCCTCCCTCCCGACTCACCCCTGGCGAAGTGGCACGAGCTGATGCACGATGCCGCCAACAAAGCTGGGTTTCCCCTGGACGCCATCAACAGAGTGCCGGACATGATGGCCGAGGCAGGGTACGTGGACATCGTGGCCAGGCAGGTCAAATGGCCGATCAACACATGGCCTAGAGATCCAAAGCACAAGGAGCTGGGGAAGTGGGCCCACGAGAATTTCAGCTGGGGGTGTGAGAGCATGAGCTTGGCTCTGTTTACCAGGGTGCTTAGATGGTCGGCGGATGAGGTGAGGATCTTTATGGCCTCGGTCAGAAAAGATTTGAGGGATAGGAGGTTGCACGCTTATTGGAATTTCTGGGTCGTGTATGGACGGAGGGGTTAGCGCTGTGTTTGCAGGCTGGTTTGTTGGATGTCAATGGTTGAACACCATGGGGCTGGGACTGTCAAGTGAGCATCAAAAATTCCGGAGTGAATTGCTGTTTTCATTGTTCTATACCACCTTGTATTTGTTTGGGAGTTTCTGTGCTGGGATTTGAGTGGTCGATCTCTACCTACCGTAGATACGGGTAGTGTACTGCTAGTAGATCTTTTGAATTGAGCGTGTAATTGCTATTGGAGATTCTTGGTCACACAGCGTGTGATGGGTATGCAGGCAGACAAGACGCAAGTACGCTCTGACAATGCGTCAGGCAAAGAGTGTGTCCGAGTTAGGCGGTCATGGCTATGTAAAAAGACCAGATTCTGAAGAAGAAAAAAATGGAAGAAAAAATAGACAAAAACTATCGCCACACCTCATTCAAGCCTCTGGCTGCAAACTCAACAAGAGGTGATCCCAAACACAGCCCAAAAGCCACAAACACACTCAGATACGTATCTCCGGACTGGTTACCGGGAGAGGCCTCGTGAGATTTTTCCCGTCATGATCGTCATCCAACCAACATTTCGTAAATCATCCCGTGTTACCCAACATCCTTCAACGTGCATAGGTATACAGCATCAGCGGCCATATACCCCCAACCAACAATAAGCCACCTCAGGCAGCCTCAACCCCAACCACGGCCTTCTTGTTCCGCACCCCCGCCAATCTCCTCCTCTTTCCAGCCTTCCACGCCTCAACAATCAAGATGTAGGCCGCCACACAAGCAGCCACGATGCCCCACTCCCAAGTGATGGCCTCGTGCTTGAACACGGTCCGGTTCACGACGGGGAGGTAGACGAGCGGGAAGCAAATGACGAAGCCAGCGGACACGGCTCCGAACAGGAACTTGTTCTGCCAGATGGTCTTGAACACCGACAACGCACCGGAATACTTTTCTGGGTGCATGTTGAAGAGCGATCGGGTGAAGTGCTTCGACTCCCAAGCAGTGACCAGCAGCAGGAACGTCAAGGTGGCAAAGGTGGTGGCTCTGGCTCTAAAGGCAAGGTCGCAAGCGGGCGAGTAGTCCGAGTTGCACAGCTCGCCCAGACCGTCGGGGCCAGAGACGCCGTAGGCCACCGAGGTGAAGGCTGCGAGACAGAGCCCGCCCATGGCGGTGCCGTAGACGAACTTGTCGATGATGAGCTCCTTGGTGAAGATGCCGACGGCCAGGTCGTGGGGCGGGCGCTGCATGACATCCGGCTGGGCATCTTCCAGGCCGAGGCCGAGGGCCAAGAAGGAAGACGTGACGAGGTTGGCCCAGAGGATTTCCAGCGGCGACAAGGGGAAGACGGAGACGCCCTTGTTGTCTTTGAAGGCGAGACCGATGAGAAGTAGGATGACCTGGGCGATGTTGGAAATGAGTAGATGGAGGAGGAACTGTGGTTACTACCGTCAGCATGTTTCCATTGATGAGAATGAGCAGAGAGAAATACCTTTTGAATATTGTCAAAAAGACGACGGCCTTCCTCCACGGCAGTGACGATACTGGCAAAGTTATCGTCGGTGAGAACCATGTCGGCCGCTTCCTTGGCCACGTCACTGCCGTTCAGACCCATGGCAATGCCAACATCACTGATCTTGAGGGCGGGGGAGTCGTTGACACCATCACCGGTCATGACACAAAAGGCCTTGCGACGATGCATGGCTTCCACCATCCTGACCTTGGTGGTAGGACTGCATCTGGCAAGGACCAGGGGCAAAGAAGGCATGGCATCGATTTCGGCTTCGGTCAGGGCGTCAAATGCGCTGGCAACCATGATGCTGTTGGGAGATGAAGCCGCCGCAGAAGGGTCCCGAGACAAGATGCCGATCTCGTAGGCGATGGCGGTGGCGGTCTTGACGTGGTCGCCAGTAAGCATGTGGACCATGATGCCTGCTTCCTTGCACTTGGCCACCGCGGCAGCCGACTCGACACGAGGAGGATCATAGAGACCAGCCAGGCCCAAGAAGACGAGGTCGCACTCGACCGTGTTTCTCTCGGGGAGGCCGTTGTTGCTCTGTTCCGAGCCCTCTTTGAGCTCGACAGAGAAAAGCGAGGCGTCGACGGGTTTCCGAGCGACGCAGAGAACACGGAGACCTAGTGCTGCCAAAGCCTCGGCTCTGGTGACAATCTCGGCCTTGAGCGCGTCCGAGGCGTTCATCAGAGGCAGGATGGCCTCGATGGCACCCTTGGTGTAAGCGTATGCAGAGGCACTGTCTGCGTCGTCTGAGCCGTCGGCGCGGCAGACGACCGTCATTCTCTTGCACGACGAGTCGAAGGGGTACTCGGCCAACAATCCGTGGCTGCCCCCCGCCGTGAGCTGAGGCTTGCCAGAGTCGAATCTCATGGCAAGAACCTGCAGCGCGATCTCGGTGGGCTCACCGATGGCCGTGTAGGGGCCAGCGGCGTCAGCCTTGGTGACGGCCGAGTTGTTGCACAGGGCGACTGTCTCGAGGAATGAGGTAAGCTGAGCGGGCGTCTTCCTCTCCTTCTCGGAGAGGACCCAGTCAACGTCACCCACGCGAACGTCTCCGCTCGTGGGGTCAAAGGGGTGGTTGGTGTTTTGAATGGTGATCTCGGTGCCGTCAGCCAGCCAGACGCTCTTGGCCACCATCTTGCCCTGCGTCAGTGTGCCAGTTTTGTCCGAGCACACGTTGGTCACTCCGCCCACGGCCTCGAGGGCGGCGAGCTTGCGAATCACTACATTGCCCTTGGCCATGGCACGAGTGCCGAGGGCCGTGGCAATGGTGAGCACAGCAATGAGAGATTCGGGAATGACGGCAACAGCCACGCAGATTCCGTAGATGAGGACCTCATCGTCGATGTTGAACTTGCTGACAGAGAAGACAATGATGGCCAGCATGATGGCCAGACCGAAAAGGAGAAGAGCAAACTTGCTCAGCGTGACCTGGAGAGGGGTGCCGTCGAGGCCGAGGATAATACGCAAGCCGTTCCGGAATTTCGTCCAGATCTTCTTGACCATGCTGCTGTCCTCATCGACAGTCTTGCCCCTGGTGGTCCGAAGGAGCTCGGCAATCTTGCCGACCTCTGTGTTCATGGCCGTAGCAGTAACTAGACCCATGGCGCGGCCGCGGGTGACAGTGCTGGCCGAGTACACCATGTTGGTGCGGTCACCAAGAGGAACATCACGGTCCTTGAGGATGAGCTCGGCATGCTTGCTGACGGGGAGAGATTCGCCCGTCAACAGTGCCTCATCGGTGGACAAGTTGATGCTGCTTACGAGGCGCAGATCTGCCGGGACGACATCTCCAACGCCGAGGCGGACAAGGTCGCCGGGGACCAGAAACTCGGCCTTGATAGACTCGGTCTGGCCGGACCGGACAACCTTGCACGTGGGCGCAGACAAGGCATACAGAGCCTGAATGGTCTGCTCGGCACGGTAATCCTGGACAAAGCCAACGACGATGTTCAGCAGAATGACGGCGGCAATGACGCCGCCCTCGATGTGGTCGTCGATGGCAAAGGAGAGGATCATGGTGATGACGAGGACAAGTGTCAAACTATTGGACACCTGTCTTAGGAGAATCGTCCACAGGGATAGCCCCTTAGCACCCTCAACCTTGTTAGGGCCATACTGCTGCAGGCGACGGGCAGCCTCGGTATTGTCGAGTCCATTTCTGGGGGGGATGGGTTAGTGGCCTTGAGAGAGGAGAAAAAAGGGGGAAGCACAAGACAACAGGAACTACACATACTGGCTGTCGGTCTCGAGGAGAGAGGAGACATCGGGGACGGTGAGGGTATGAGCCGACTCGGGGGTGAAGCCCGGGAGAGTCGGGGTGCTGTCAGCGGAGACGGTGCCGGCAGTACGGACGGTGCCGGCGAGGGTGGGGGATGACGCCGAAGCGGAAGTGTTTTTGGAACTCTTTAGGCCACGTATAGGAGGTTCCGTCTGGCCCTCGACGTCAAGGTCGTTCTCTGTCCCCATTCAATAAAAGTGATTTCTGGATTGATGTTCCAGCGAAGTGACAATGCACAAGGGAAAGAAGAGAAGAATTCCAGAAGATAAAAGGAAGTCGGGAAGGGGGCGAAGAGCATGGGGTTTATGACAAATGATGCCGGTCCGTTCCAAGACATGCAACTGCACCCTTGCTGGATCTCTCTCAACAAGAAGCAGCACGAGGCAAGGGATCAATGGATCATTGCCCCAGGGGCAGTGGGGGATCAGATCTGACGGTGACGGTCCACGGAACACGCTTCTTCCCATGCCATCCACGCCATCCACGCCATCCACGCCATCCACGCCACGCCAACAACGAGGAACAAGGCTAACGCCGAGCGCTTGGAACCTGCTTGGGACCGCTGGGACAACGTCGGCCAAGGGCTGGAGAAGGGGGAGCAGCCCAATCACAGACTCCCGAATCACCACGGAGAGTGGGGCACCGTCTTGGCCCTTGTGATTCTCTGCACCATTCGTGGCTGTGCTCAATGAATGGAAGCTGGTGCCGACCGCCGGACGCACCCTGTTGGTCACTGGTCACCTGCTATCTTTGTTGCTTCATATCAGTTGCTGTCCCTGTTCCGTCGGTATGCACCTAACCGGTATCTCCTGTATCCACCACCCAGGCAGTGTTGTTTTTGCCTCCTGAAGACGAAAAAGAAGACACTGGCTGATTCTCTATAATCTCTGTTGTCATCCACCAGAGGCAACCCATCTATACCATTTGATGAACAACTGGCTGATGATGGGATCAGTCTTGGGTATTTATCCCGTAGCAAACACTTCCTGTCAAGAACGACGCCAAGCCCGTTATCAATCACCGGCCCCGCACCGGCACTCGAGCCGTCTGTCGGGTGGTGACGCGTGGTGACTGTGCTCATTGGCCCCTCTGGTCCCAGACCCAACCACACTTATTCTTATTACTGGAGGAAGGCCGATGCGATGTTCCATACGCTCAATGTTACTAATTGAAGCGAAGCTCACGACTACTTACAGGCTCATTATGTACGGGATTCCATGTCGGGTTGAAATGTGGACTGTCGCAACTGGAGGCCTCGCCAACTCTTGCCAACAACCTCACTCTCAACATCAAGATCAGCAGATCTAAAGACTACACTACGGGAACTGGCCCCGCTCCGGTCCAAAGTACCCCTTCTCGGGAATCGGCAGGATCCCCACACTCTTCCCGTCCATGCCGGCGTGGCTGACCCGATTCCCCCACCAATCCAGCTTCACGGGGTGGTAGCCCACAGCAAAGAACATGATGAGGGCGCTGATGGCGACGCCTGCCGTCAACGAGGCAGAAAGCACGTAATTGTACTTTTCCCACCATGCCAGCCGGTATTTTGGCAGCAGGTACATGAAAATGCAACTCAGGATGAACCCGGGCGTCTTGTAGCTCAGATTGGACGGCGCCCAGTGTTGGAATCCGTGGATGATCAACACGGGGTTCAACCACAACAGGCTGGCCACGAAAGGAAAGATTGTCCTGTCAAGCTGCGCAAATGTCCTTGGTCCCAGTCTTCCCCGCAGTCTTTCTTTGATGCCGGGCAGGTATTTCGGCCCGTATCCCTGCCCGACCAGAAACACTACCGCAATGCCCGTCCCGATCAAGAAGCACCACTTGAACATCGGATACATGGCACCAAACATCCTCTCGCTGCCCAGCAATCCCCACATCAAGCTGCTGGCATACAGCGGTGCACCGTCAGCAGCACAGGTGAACCTGCTCGGCTGGTCCGGCTCGCACAAGCCCTTCACGTTCTCCATGATGAAGTTTTGGGTCGAAACCGCAACAAAACAGGTGATGATGATCGTCCCAATCTGGCTCCTAAACACGGCCCTCGGCGGGATCTTGACATAATGGGCCATCTTTTGATCTTGCACATAGTTGTCTCCGTAACCGGCCAACGCCCAGCTGCCCAAGGTTTGCGCAAACAAGAAAGCATTGGGGTTCCCGGGCAGAAGATACCCCGTCAGCACCTGTATCAGACTCCCAAGCCCCAGGTTGGTCCCCGTGGTGGCCGACAACAGAGATAGCGGGACGGCAAAGATGATGTTGATGCCTATCATGAGGAAAACAAGCCACACAGGTGTTTCCAGTGGATATATCCTCAAGAAAATCACCGACACGACAATGGCCGCCACCAAAATGAAGATGAACCACCAGTCTGGCACCTCGGGGTACCGGCTCATCAGTCTCGAATGGACATCCATCGCCCCTTCATAGTTCCCTTTCCCCCTTCTCAGCCCCTGGTAAAAGTCAACATAGGCCTTGCCCACCGTCGTCCACTGGTTGACCATGATGTACAAGAAATACACTGGGTAAAACGCAAAGTTGGCTCCGACAGTCAGGATGTATCCGGCAGAGTAGAACGGCGGGGAGTAGGCTTGGTACTTCTGCTCGTCGAGCTTGTTGTGTGCTGAGATGACATTCTGCACACGGTACGGTTTCCCATCGTTGGCAAAGGCCGAGCTGGAGTTGATGGGGAGGTAGGCAGAGTGATTCATGTTGTTGTAAAAGATGGCCAGGATGACTGCCGCTCCGAGCCAAGCGGAGCACCATTCAGTTGCTGTGGCGAAGAAAGGGTTGGCGAGGGCGGCAAAGGAAGATGTAGCAATGTTCCAGTCAAAAGTGGTGATTGGGTTAAAAAGACCTAACCCAAGAGATGAGCCAGTCAAAATGGCCAAGGTCAAGTTCTCGGGAGCAATCCAGGTCATCCAGTTGAAGGTGGAGAGGGCTGTGAAAAGATAACCCGGCAGCCAGTAGTAGATCGCCATGGATACCGTGCAGACGTAGAAGAAGTTGTACCGGGATATGGTCCAACCGTGAATGTTCTCTTTGAGCTCTGGCCTGGTCAATGCTCGATTCATGGCAATGGTGGGAAGGATGGTGGGCCAGAGGGCTTTGACAGGATATACTGAGAACCGGCGGAGATATCCTGCAAAGCCCATCCCCATGAGCTGAACGAACAGGGTCAGCATGAGCTGGTAGCCATAGTTGACAAAGCTCTGGCCGTAGAAAATGGGCATCTTTTGGACGAGGATCTGTATTTATCAGCATCATTTTAGAGAGGCGAATATAGAAAAAGAGTCAACGCACCATCCCATACGAATTGGTGGTATAAATAGCGATGTTGTAGGTAATCGTCGCAAACATTTGCTCTTTGAACGTCCACGGCCCCGGATTGAGCGAGTGTCTCGTCCCAAACACCGTGAATCCCCAGTCCGGAAGGACATACTCGAGGACCTTTGCACACGGGTACAAAAGAATCTGAATAACACTCCCACTAAGAGCTGCCCGTGTCTGTCAGCCCCATGTCCTTTGATAAGTGAAGGCCAACACGTACTGATGCTCGGAAATCTCGAGTTGAAAAACGTCGCCATAAAGGTCCCAATCACAGCCCACGATATACCCAGAAAGTAAGCCCTAATGGTCTCTACGGGGGTGGAGTCATTGTCAGTCAGTTCAGCCACAGCTCTAACCCCCGGATAGGGGCTGGACCAGCGCATCATGACAGCATCGATTCTGAGATCTCGCTCATAAAAGTCGCCGTACTCTTTCGGGCTCTCTTTCACCAGTCTCTGCATTCTTGTCCGCATGACAGTGGGAAAGTTCCAGTCATCGGCGTGGAAAGTAAGCGATTCACGGATGATGGCCAGGGCCTCTTCCGTTGACATGGCGTTGATTTTGGAGAGGATGTGCTCGTATTCGCCATTTGGTGCCAATTCCTCGAGCAGAGAGTGCGGGATCTGGTCCGTGATATTGTCTGGCTCCTGGCCATCGTGTGTTTCCCTTTCGTAGGGCTTGGCAGGTGTTTTTTCAGGGTCTCGATCGGATGACCTCGTTTCGTGGCTCGAGATGATTCCGATCTCGTCAGGATCGACAGCCTCGGGTTTCTCTGCCATGCTTTCTGTAGTCGACTCGAGAATTAGGGACAATGGGCTACCAAAACGCTCCTCCACCCTCACTGTACTCGAAGGAGAATCGTTGAATGGCAATGGGCTTATCAGACATTGTACGGCCGATATGCAATGCTGCCGAATGCCGGCATCCGGGATACGAGGAGGTCCAGATACTGCCGTGTTTGCTTCTCGGCTATGTGTGTCCGACGTTGCATGATGTCCTCCTCTCCTCCTACGGCAGACCCCCAGGTGATACAGTCTGCATGGGAGCAACATGAAGTGCGGGGATTGCGAAAATCGAGACGGGAATAGATGACCTGACATTTGGTGGATTGAGTGAGAAGGGAGCGCAGATCTACCGGCATAATGAGTTTCCTGAATTGGAAGGCAGCAAGCCGATGCCACAACACTGGTGAGCATGCATTGTTAGCTAGGTGGCTCGGTGGAAGGGTAGGTAGGCACTCGCAACTGGATTTGAGGGAACTGAAGTGGGGAAGCTGTAGCACAGACTGCATAGGTAGGGTGTCTTGTGTTGAACAGCCATTACACGTGAAACTTTAGCGTCTAAACTATCATAAACTGGCCTTCGTAGATGATCAATAGGCCAGTTTATAGCAATAAAAATACCTTGAAATATTGATTAAAAGTCTTAAAGAGAAGATACCTGGTGGTCGAAAGGCCTTGAAACATGATCAAAAGGCGTGTGAATTACCTGATCTTTTAAGTCCTCAACATGTAACGCAATGTCCACACGTATCCATTCCCATGCATGTTGATATCGCTGCTCAGACTATGTAATCAGATCCATTCAATATTTATGCAACCATGTGTCCATCCAAAAAGCAACAAGAAATAAGAGGATAAAGGGGGCAAATAGGGGCAAACAGGGGTAGTAACAAAACCGAACCGTCCATAAAGTGGGCCCATCCCCAGACACACTACCTTATTCTGACTTGGGAACAGCATATAGAGCCCTCAGCTTGCCGTTCCTGTCAACTGATCCAAACTTCCTAAGATCAGTATAAACCCACCAGAACACATTCCGATACAGAAACTTGACAGGGCCCGGTGCAGCAGGCCAGTCCAGCCATATATCGTCCTCGAAGTGGATGTCCAGATTGGCAAAACACCACAACATGCCAGGCATTCCAAGTGCTTTCTATGACCCCCTTTGATTAGCCGCCAGTCGATCGCCCAAGAGAGGGTCGGTATATGGGAAGGCACAAACCATCGAACTCTCCCCTTCCTCCCCCATGATCCTCTCAATCGCCTCCGCCATCTTTCTCCCCTCTCCATCCACCTCTCTCAACCTCTGCAACGTAGGGATTTCATCCCGCAGATGCTCGACGAGACTTTTCCCAAATACATCAATCATCTGCACTACCCTGTTACCGTCATACTTCTGTTTATCCGCCAGAACACCATTAATGTAATCATCCAGATCGTGTAGCCCTTTCTTGAACACGCCGTGTTGATGGACATTCGTCTCCATGATTCCCTCCACCCCCGACAACCTCTCTACCTCTGGAAAGAAATGTGTCTCCTCGCCGTGGTGGTGGACGTGAATCAGGTTGGTGAAAGCCGCAATGTACCGGCAAAAGGGTTTTGCGTCGGGAGCTGTGACGTGTGGAGCTTGAAGATAGATGGAATTAAGGCCGCGGATCATGAGATTGTGCGCGTTGGCCATTTCCGAGGCGGCACGGTCGAAGCTGTCCACCTGTACATGCAGTTGAAGTGTGAATAGCGTGTTTCGTTAGGGGTGATCAGATGATGGAGGTGGTCCAACCTTTGCATGCGGGTCTTGTTTCGCTGCAAACACAGGAGTCTGGATAAGGGGGAATGGGTGGTCTGCATAGACTGGTGCCATGGTTGCTTTGTTTTCAGCTGGCGGTGATAGTGAAGAGATTACTGGGCACAGATTCCAAGCCCACAGTGTTGACAAGCACAGTAGCAAAGGTTGATCAATTATATGCCGTTAGGCAACAAATCGCTACCTGAGCTGGGGAATCGAAGTGTTTTTCTACCTCAATCTTCACAGCAACCTCCACCCCGAGCATCCAAACGCGGGCACCAACGCGATTCGTACAAAGAATTCCGCGCCCCCAGAATGCGAGATGGCGCAGCACCAGCCAGCCACCACATACATCTGAATCAGGGTATCTAGCTCGTAGAAAATCCAGTTTCTACTGGTCCATCGACGCCACAACAGCCCTATATCTCTGTCCTGGCATTCTGGGAGCCTAATCTGGCACTAGTGTTCATGGATTTAACTCTGCATTCATTACCTCCTTGAAAAGTCCAGACCATCTTCGACAGATGTGATCCTGTTCTTTGTGTGGGCCCTGCGTTCCCCCACCTCTGGCCCATCAAGCTCCACAACAGCACCAGTACCATCCTGACTAGATAGGTAGCCTATGGGAGGTAATTCTCTGATGGGATACAAATTGCTTACTCTCCCTGGTTGTGTAACAGAATGGTGTGAAGAATGGATCATTGTATTGCTCGGTAAACCCTTCTCTTTTATAACGCTGACACAAGTTACCTTACTTACCGATCTATCATCTTCGCTTTGCAGCTTCGTCGTGAGCCAAGGACCCAATTCTACCAGGTACTCTCACTGAAACCTCTTCATCTTCGCTTCTTGCCCTTCTTCTTATTAGCCTTCCTGCCCTTATTCTTTTTCTTTTCATGGCCGATGATCACTTCCTCGCTCTCTAAACCATCATCCGACTCGACATCTGGTCCACCTTTGTCATCCTCCTCCTCCACTTTCTTTTCCTCCAATACTTTCCTTTCCTCCTCCAATACTTTCTTCTCTTCCCCTGCCTTCTTTGCCTTCTCCTCTTCTAACTGTTCCGCCACCTTATTTTTCTCCTTTATGAGTTTCATGTACTCCTCCAGCTGAGCCAGCCAATGCTTTTCAGGAGGTACATACCAAAAGGCAACCTCACAGCCGTGCATTGCATAGTGACCCAACATCTGCGACAACTCCTTCCAGCAATCTTGATTGCGAATAGGTTCCCACCTTTTCGCTTTTCGTCGCCAACCTTTTTCAGCCCATTTCAGCATAGACTCAGTAGCGTGGTGATGGACGTACAGGGACGTCGTGATGATGATGGTTTCTCCCAACCATCGATCTACCATTGGGCCATATTGTTGCGGTTCAACGGCATCGCAGGCCCTCCTGACACTTGCGTATGAAAGCAGCTTTCTTTGGCAGGGGGACGTGACTCTAGCGCAGCAATGACACCGATCAGAGCAGCGCCGTCTTCGTCAATAGCCTGGTAGCCATCGAGCTGTTGCGGGACCTTGGCGTCGGTTTTCTTGTCTAGGTTGTACACCATGGAGGCGACGAACGGACATGTTGAGTCCGAGGGTAAATTCACATGTATGAAAATGGCCATGTGCTTCGGATTATTGAAATGCACGAATCGGTTCTCAAGCTCCTTGGTGGGATGTTTTTTCGTGGGTTGTATCACGAACAGGTCTTCGGGTAGCAGGTTCGGTTCAACCGCGTAGTTGGTACCCTGCCAGACATGACCACTTCCGTTGCAATTGTCATATTCAGCAGCGGTCACTTTGACGTCGTTGTGCTCGCCGATCATATTGTGTACTGCTTTTATTACAGCCTGTCGACTTGCGATTGTACAAAGGTGTGGGTTTACGTGTTGCAATCGCTTCTCCGGAGAGACGTAATCGTCCCATCTGTGGGCTTCCTGTTCGTTTTGGTACTTGGGGTCTGGCCCCAGGTGGTCGATGGGCTCGATCCGCTGCCCACTTGAGCATGTTTCGAGTAACGTTCTTTCCCAGATATTCCGACTTGGCAATGATGACGATGCGAACCCAGCCCTCAAGAGACCAGTCACGATACCCAAGCGCGGCAAGCACAGCCTCCATCTCAGCTCAGTCCTTGGTGCTCTGATGAACCTGGCCATCTGCGCCCACATCCTCCCAGAAATAGTAGACCTTGCCAAGTTCGAATGTGTTGAACCGGAAGCCAAGACTCGTCTTGTATGGTTCTGCATCTCCGGAGTTACTATCGAACCCCCAACTTCCCGTGTAGATGGCCATGGTCATGGTATGAACAAAGTCGCTCATGAACGGCCTGGCAAAACAGAAGCGCTGCACATAAACGAGCCCGTTTTCATGGTACACCGGGCGAACCAACCGTGGCTTGAACAATTCTGCAGGTTCCACACCTGCGGGCGGCAGGAAGGAGGTTCCCAGCCATGCCGAAGGGGTCATGGTCACCGGGAAATACACCCGGCCATGGCATATCGAGCGCGATTTGCAACTAGGCGTCTTGGTACAGTTCGATCTCTAAACTCCATGATCGGCGGATGCTCGTACGCATTTCGGTGGCCACGTAGGTTCGCATTCATGATCCTATCGTAGCTTTGGAACTTGATGTTTCCCGGTGTTTCCATGACTTTCCCCTGTGTTGGTCGCAATTGAAGAAGTAGGCGGTTCGAGGTTCAGAGTCCAGGTTCGGAGGACTGCGGGAGAAAACATGTTGCTTTATACGTGCTCAAGAAACCCACAACACAATGACCGCAAAAACTACCTCAGCTAGCACGCGCCGACAACATTCTTGGTATCCCTTGGGGTTTGTCCCACTGTTACTACCCCATCGCCACAATTATAGTACTGATTCATCCACACAACGTCTGATTGCTGATCAAACACCACTATGTATGCATGTGTCAGCTCTGTAGATATTTTGCTGACTGTAAGAAACGGGCAAGACTCACAATAAGCACCCCTGATGAACGTGTCTCCCAGCACATAGTACGTGCTCCCATAATCCGCCGGCTGCACCCCAAGCATGCACCTGCCCGGGTAGAGCTGGTAGATGAAATCCTTGTACCGCACATTGATCACCATCGCGCCGCTGTTGAACCCAAAGTCCACCGTCCCCGCCACGTCCCTGTACTTGCAGTCCACAAAGTAATTCCCCTGCGTATCAATCTCGGCGTTGAACTGCTGCCCTATCACCGCCACGAGGTCCTCCCGGATGTAGCTCAACGTCGAGCCCGTGTCGATCAACGTCGGCATGGAAAACCCCTCCCGAGGTGTGTACAGTTTTCCTGCCTCTTTTGGCTTCGTCAACCCGACGCTGGTGACATTGACCCAGTATTGCACCCATCTCGGATCCTGCTCTTTGATCGGAGGCCAAATGGAGACCGGGACCAGCGGCCCGGCAAACTTCCAGCGGTTGACTCCGCCAAAAATAATCTCGCTGAAGCCGTCGCCGTCGCCGCCGAGACCGAGGCTGAAGATGGGGGCGGATATCATCTTCTGGGAGACCATGAGGTTGAGGACGGAGGGGTAGGGGATGGAATAGGGGTAAGCGTAGCCTAAACCGAGGATGCCGGCGAAGGTGTAGTTGCTGTCGGCTGCTACGGCGAACTGGACATGGGGGATTTGGAGCACTTTTTAGGGAGTTGTCAGTCTCAAGCATGAGAGTGAGAAGTACCTGTAGAGTTGGGGGAGGTGTGACAGACTCGCAATACTCATCACGTCGCTCCAGTAGCTTCCTCGCACTGCCCCTGTGCCGTAGGTGACGGCAAAGTTGCCACCAATGTGCATGGCAGAGTTTGACTTGGATGGGAAGTAGTTGCCAAACGTCTGGCAGAGGGAATCCGACGCCGACGTGCTGCAGCGGGGGTTGACCCAGAGTTCGTACGAGCCGGTGTCGACGAAGACGCGGACTTTTTGAGGGGGCGTGCCAATGTCCACTATAGAAAGAAGTTTGTGGACTTGTCAGCAGGGGTTGAAATCAGGTGGAAATGGAATTCAAGGGTGGAGCACGAACACTGGATGATGTAGGCAATGCCGCCCAGTTCTTCAAGATTGGACCAGCCCCATCTTCTATCTGCTGCTCGGCGATGCAAAGTCGGAGACTGCTGGGTTGGTGGGGATCTCGTTATTCTAGTCAGAGTTGGCGGTGGTCTTGTCGATGATGACGCATGAGTAGGTTGGAAGGGTTGATTTGACTTCAAAGCTGAGGGGTCATTGTGAGGGTCGGTCGGGGGCCCCCAATGCCAGCCCCTTTTTGACTTCCCCTTACTTTTGAACTTCTGTCTCGACACCGGCATGCGCACATAGCCTGGGTCTCTTGTACGCTTCCCTCCGCCCTTGTCACCATCATCGAGTGAATGTTCATTGCTGAGATTAGGAAGACTGGCTCCATGACTGACTGTAAGAAAAAGAGTGGTGTATATGGCGAAGTGAAGCAACATGGTGCTGGTAAAGTTGTCCCAACTGTTCGACGCTGGGGTTTTCCAGTACCCCGACAACAATGATACAGCAACGCCTACCCTGGAGATTCGACGTCAACTAGGTGAGAGGTGAAGATCGTAAAACGTCCGCTGCACACGGCCATGCATGCAACGCTACAAGCAGAGGAGGTATCATGGAATCTCAAATGCAACGATGGGCAGGCAAGCTTTGGGTGAAGGGAAGACGAAGTGAACCACCTATAAAGCCATCATATCTCGTGGAAGAACTAGCCCCGCGCTCCAAATTGAGAAGAGAAACTGTCAGCGGGAGCGATGACTGCATTGTCACTTCTTCCTGCGGTTAGCTGTTTCAGTTCTCAGCTCGTGAATGGTGATCAGCCCAAGATCTGGGTAAGACGGGAAGTGGTGATTTTAACCGATCCGGGGTAAGGCAGACATGATCGCGTCGAAGGATCTGCCGCGCCTGTGATATGCTGAGCGGCGGATAAATACCTAGGTACGGATTACACCCGTCACGACTGCCGTGCAGTCTTTTCAGCTCTTTTGCCGGCGCATATTCCAGTTCGCTCAAGACCCAAGAAAACCGGTGGTCTGGTTCAGGTTACCACTCTAGGTTTGTGCATGTTGCAGTTGGGTGAAGCAACCACTACTCCATATTGATCTGGAGGACTGGATTCGAGCGAAATCCAACAAATTTTGGGTAGTTGAAGAAATCATGTTGAGTTACCGTCTAGTTCCTCATCTCGGGGTTCGTCAAATGCTGTCATACGACAGGAGGCCGATTAGGACATGGTCATGGATGTCAGAGATCCAAGCTCAACAGCCTACCCCCAATTCTGCTCCTCGTCGCGCAGACCACCAGCGCCTCCCCGTGACCGACTCCCAGAATCCCTGGCCATGAACTCCCCTCCTCGAAAACAGTATCAGCCTCCCGACTCCAGTTGATCACTCCATTCCCCAACCCAACCCCTAAAACAGTCTTGATCTTGGCCCCAGAAGGCCATACCCCTTCGTTCCCATCCTCATCTGTCATAAATACCACCGCCACTCCCTCCCCACCAGCCAGAGTCCCAATCTGCGGTGCCCCGGCATTTTTGCCCTCTCCAGATGGCTTGTACACCTCTTGCCTTGACGCCCAGCTCAGTCCCTCGTCGTACGAAACCACCGCCTCAATGCTAAACCTCCCAGGCCCACACCTTGTGGTCTCCAACACCATCACCAGCGCCTCTTTGCCAGAAACTGCATCCTTCATACCGGCAATTCCCACCATCCCATCTCTCAACCCCTCCTCCCCCGTAATCCTCCTCGGCTCCGACCACGTCTCCCCCCCATCCCCACTAACAACCACCATCGTGTCCTGCCTCTGCCCCTGCTCCGCCTCGGCCGAATAATACAACTGCACCTCCTCTCGCCTCCCCACAGGAATCCTTACAAACGGCTCCCACACCCCATCCGAGCCCCCCTTCTCCACCGCCTGGCTCAAATACTCCCAAATCCTCCCCCCATCCCGAGATCGACAAACCGTAATCCGGAACCAGGTCGGCTTATTACCATCTTCACCGCTCAAATCATGGTTCCTAAAAGCAGCCAACACAACCCCCGGCTCCAGCTCAGCAAGAAAACAGTTGTCGCAGTCACCGTGGGAGCGGGTGATTTCCCCCACGACTTCGAACGAACGAGCTTGGTCAACGCTGCGTGATACAACCAGGACTCTCTCCCCGTCAGGCCCAAAGGTGGTGTAGCTCTTGAGGAGGGAGCCGTCGGATAGCTGGCACAAACGGGGGTAGGTCCCTTGCGTGGAAGGGGGGAAGTGGTCCTCGGTGGAGATGTGGAGTTGCGGGAGGGGAGGGGGGCGGTCGTCGTTGTTGCCAGGGTCGTGGTTATCTGCTTGATTCTTCAGGTCGAAGCCGAGCTTGGAGAGGAGGTACTCGGCCATGTTTGGCAAGGAAGGTGGGGATCGAGATGAAAAAAAGGCAAAGGGTGACGACTCGTACGTGGCGGGGGTGATGAGTGAGTTCGTTGGAGGGGGAAAATGGTGTAGGAAGAGGGCCGAAAGTAACTCGCTATTTGTAGCCGACTCGGTGACCGTTACTGGGGCTTTGTGCCGGTGTGTGGTTCGTGGTAAGTACGACAACGGGAGCAAACCGGTACGACGACTTGGCCAACGGTTGCTCGCATTTTCTGGCAGGAACAAGCAAGCACAAGGTGACCCAAGAAGATGGGACATGACGTAGGGGAAATGGAACAACAATACACTTCAGAAAATCATGGATGCTTCGTCAACTATATACACTACAAAGATGTAATTACCGCCAACTATAAATAAAAAGTAAAGGATTGTAAGAAAATGTATGTTATGTCGGACCGAATCTCTAGGCAGTTATGTGTGTGTGTGTGTGTGTGTGTATGTCATCATGTACTTTTTCCCAGCTGGAAACCCATTTCCAACCTCCCATAAGTTTCTTTGACATTGGAATCCGTTTCCGTCTATTACCCTTTCGTCATGGAGAGTGAGAAAATGAAAACCAAAAAACAAAGTCTTCCTTGCACGCCGGCCCGCCCGCCAACCCGACATAAAACACCAACATGGCTGCAACAGCAACAAGACGCACAATAGGCATTACGATAAAGGTAGTATAGCAAAACCTTTAGGGCTTCTCGACCTGCTCCTTCCTGAAGAACTTGAAGAACCCAAAGGGGATGATCAGCTGGAATCCCAGACACACCCAGAAGTAAGGACTGGCTGCTCCAGGCATGATGCCCTGGCTGAAGTCAGGGAACGTGGTGTTGGGCGAGAGTGCGTTGGGACTGGTCGCCCGCGCCAGCATGGTGAAAGCACTGCCGATGACCTGGGCGCCCACCAAGACGGTCAGGACGTGCTGTCTGGTCAGCGTGGCCAGCAGCAACATGCCCAACCCGACGCCCTGGATGTTGTCCAAGAGACCCAACCAGAGCCACAGGCAGCGGGAAAGAATGGCTGAGCCGACAGGGCCACCAGCCCACGGGAGGTACCAGCCGATGCCGGATGTGCCCCAGAACTCCTGCGCCCACCGTGGTGCGCAGAGGCCGATGGCGAAGATGGGCAGGAGCCAGGTGTGCTCCTCGCTGAAATGAGAGAAGCCCCACAAGACGAGGGCCCAAAGGCCGACGTAGAAGCCCAAGGCAAGCAAGAAGATACCCCAGCCGGGAACGTGCTGCGTGTTGAACAGGAACTGCCAGCTGCGGCCATAGGGAGCCGACAGCCAGTAGTTTTGGATGATGATCATGACAAAGAACCAGGGGACGACCTTGCGGCGCCAAAGCGAGATCCAGAAACCGGGAATGCTCGCCGGAGATTGCCGGTAAAAGTCAGGGAGACCAACATAAAGCATGGCACCAATGGCCCACATGAGCAGGCAGATGGGAATGCCGACGACGATGGCTTGGGGGACCTTGGAAGTGCCGACAAAGATAGTGGATGTGGGATCCAGAGTTGAGACAATGGAGCCCCAGTACCAGAGACCAATGCTGAACACCTGCGCAAAGCCCGACACCACGAGGGCACGAGTGATCCACTGCTTGGTAGGCGCGCCACCTTCGTCACCAAAGTTGAGCGCAAAGGACAGGGCACCGGAGCTGGCGCCAGCGGCATAGAAGCAGGTGGCAGCTTCCTCGAGCTTGTTGGACACGCGCCAGTCGGAAAGCAGGGGCGAAATGCCAATCAACATGAAGGCGAGACCGTAAAAGAACCACGGGGCCGAGAGCGAGTAGACAGACTTGAAGTTTCTCTCGAGTGCCCACCAGATCAACGACGTGGCCATGTAGGTAGCGGCGACCATGTAGAGCTTTTCTGGCGTTTGGTTGGTTTCGCCTGTGAGGAGGACAATCTGGTACGAGCTGACGGAAATGACTTGCTGGAGGGCGAGGAAGAACGAGTAGATGGGCCAGTCACCGATGCGAATAGACATGATTCTGCACAACAAGGAAGGTTAGTATTGTTATTCATGTTCTCCAGACGGAGGGTGTGTGTCCATACCTCTTGAGACCTGTTGGTGCTCTGTAACCATCGCCCAACAGGAACTCATCGTCCACCATGCCGCCGCCGCCGCCGCCATTGCCTGGTGGGGAGGTCTCGAAGACGGACCTGGCCAGACCGCTGGGGGTCATGCTGCGGTGTCGTTGACGTCCACGGCTGACAACTGACTCGTTTCGTCCACCAAGACCGTTTCTCGACTCGGGCCGGCTGCCAGGGCTGCCGATATGGGATTCTCTATACCGCCCAAGCTTGGCGTCACGATATCTCGCGAACCACTCCTTTTCGCTTCTCTTGAGGAATGTTTCGATGCACAGCTCGTTGGTCGAGTTGCCGGCGCTCAACGTCTCGAGCATGTCTTCGAACTCGGCATAGTACTCTCCGTTGGTGTCGTTGAAGAACTGGTCCACCTGCTGCAGCTTGAAGTCTTGCCTGTCACCGACGACATCGGGAAGACTGAGAAGACTGCTATTGCGGTTGGCATTTCCAAAGGCCGGCCGGGGGAGGCTGAGTCCGTTGTCCGATGGGGCGAGTCCTGGGGAGTGCATGCCGTCTTTCTGGGCCCTGATTGCGAAACTGTCAACGCTGACAGTACTACTTTGGGCCGCGGGATTGGCGTACAGTGTGTTTCCATTGATGGAGCTGGCAACCGATTCACGAGGCGAGTTGGACTTCATACCACCTGCCCATGGCGCCGTGGGCGTGGGCAGGGCTTCTGGAGAAGCCAGTCTTGGCGTCATGAGGCCTTGTTCTGGCCCCGGACTTGGGCTGGGGGTGATTCCTGGAGTGTGAGCGCCGCCGGTTGGATCCACGTAAGTGTTCGAGATGTTGCTGGCGCGAGACGATGGCCTGGTCCCCATGGGGCTGGGGCTGAGCGCATCAAACTTCTTCTTCTTGGCCTCCTTTTGGTGGATGCGGATGGACTCGCTGTAGAGCTCGTCCAGCTGCTTGAGCCACTGGGCGACGGGGAAACGCTGCTTCGCACTCCACGCTCTCATCATTTGACGCTTGTTGTGTCTGCAAAGTATCAGGTGTGTCAGTCGTGTTCGTTAGCAAAAGCAGGAACGCTGTGGCCAACTTACTTGCAATCCAGAGCCGAGACAATAGCCTGCCTGAACTGCTGGAGCAAATGGGAGGGGGTCATGGACTCGACAGTGTACCAGAAACCGGGCATCTGACCAAGACCACCAACACGAGCACCGACACCGAGCGCACCCTTTCTTCCGAACTCGACGGCAACCAGGCCGAAAGGTTCATCACGAGACGGAATCAGGGCGAACTCGGCACCGCTGAAGATGTATGGCGGGAGTTGGGTGAACTCGGGCTTGCTGTAGACCCTCTTGGGGTACTTCTTCATCAGCTTTTCCAACTTGAGGGCCGCAAAACGGCCGTACAGATCAATGACGGGGCCGACGCAAATGAGCTGCGTCTTGGGGTACTTCTCCAAAATGCTGGGGAAAATGTCAGCAATCAAATCGACACCCTTCTGCAAACTCCAACGCCCGACGAAGACGAAGAGCTCGGCTGTGGGGTCCACTTCAAGGCCAGCCCACTCTTGGGCCTGACGGCGGAGGTCGCCTCTCTTCTCCTCAAAGCTCTGGTCAATCTCGATCTCCTTCGACTGGTTCGAGATATCCTCGTTCGGGTCCCAGTCGGCAGTGTCCGAGGGGTCGGGGTTGGGCAGCTGGCCAATGTTCTTCAAACTCCAGAAGATAGGGTAGCGGGCCAGAGAACGGTCACCGTATTTTCGGGACACACCGACGGCACCGAAGCCACGTTGGTGGATACGGAGGTAACTCGCACCGGCGTGGAGCAGGTTAAACACGGAACCATACTGGACATAGTCTCTGACCACCTCCGGGGGGAGGTTGAAGACCTCGCAGACTTCCTTCTGCTCCTCAGGTGTGCGCATAGGCCACATACCTTGGAACTCGGCGTTGTGGAGCGAGAGACAGCAGGGGATGGTCTGGGGAAGGAGATACAGAGGGGCGGCGGCACCGTGGTAGTCGTTGATGTGGTAGATGTCGACGGGGAACCGGCGGATGGTTTCGGCAATGCAGGAGTTCCAGGCGGCATACAGGATGGCCGACTCAATGTCGTCCATGCGCGCGATGTAGGGGTTGGCCTTGGTCTGCTTGCGGAAGATGGGGGCGTCCAGGAGGACGTAGGTGATGTTGTTGACAGTATAGTAGTAGACCTCAATCTCGTACGGCTGGCCCATGACCTGGACGTACATGGGCTCGGCGGCCTGCATGCTGTCAAAGGGATACGTGACATCGCCGACGACCGGAATGACCCAGATGAGGTTCATGTGCTTCAGGGCAGAACCCATGAGCTGAGCCATCACACCGAGACCACCAATCTTGATCTTGATGCCAAAGTCGTCAATGTTGTACTCCATGGTCGCGATCAAGACGGTCCTCTGACCACCGCCGCTACCAAAAGGAACCAAGGCAGCGCTGGGAGGCGGGGGAGGCATGGGGCTCATCTCGACACCACCCTTGCCAAGATTCCGGAAGTCAAGCTTGGACAGGTTGCCAAGCTTGAGCGGGACCCAGCCCTTGGAGCTGAAGCCGGACTTGTTGATCTTGACCTGGTAGAAGCTGTGCATGTAGATCCAGCCTGCAAGCACGGCGAGCAAGACGGGAATGATGGCAAGGAGGATGAAGAGAACCACCTGGATGCCAATGTGACCAGTGGGAATGTACTCGAATCTCCACGTGGCGTCGTTGTAGACGAGCTTGTAGGCGAGCTGCGGCAGGGGGGGGGCCTCGGTGATGTTGATGACGTTTCTGGCCAGACTGCTCGGGGGAAGACGGTCGACGATGCCGTCGTTGTCAATGTCACCGTAGATGAAGCCGACATCGGGCTGGTTGTCGGGATTGATACCCCAAACGTTCAGCTGGAACTCGGCCGGCCACTCATACATGTAGTGCAGCTCCCAGGTGTGGTGGTGAACCAAGTCCATGGAGCCGGGCAAGCCGGCATCATAGCCCCACTTGTTGTACGGACCGTGGATTCGAATGTGTGGGACATGGCGCTCAAAGGTGATGTCGTTGCTGTCGGCGTGCTGGATGAAGCCGGACGAGCCGAGGGGCTTGCTGAAGTACTGGACCTGCAGGTGCTTGCCCTCCCACTTCTGCAGCTCCGTACCTGTCCAGAGAGTGTTGTCTCGGTACATGGCGTCGACTTCTTGGTATGTCTTTTCGGCGTCG